TAACCTCCTGTCTGTGCTCTGCTGGCCCTGTCACTGTGTGTGTCCCTCCTGTCTGTGCTCTGCTGGCCCTGTCACTGTGTGTGTCCCTCCTGTCTGTGCTCTGCTGGCCCTGTCACTGTATGTGTCCCTCCTGTCTGTGCTCAGCTGGACCTGTCACTGTATGTGTCTCACCTGTTGAATCACCAGTCTCTGATCTGTTCTTAATGTCAGTACCAGCCTGTTGCCCACTACAGATGTATCAGAAGGTCTCCACACTTCGGCTTCCAGGCTAGTCTATGCTTGTATCTAAATAAACACAGCTGGGTGTGACATTTTCTGTGGTTATTTTCACAGTTTAGTCATTAGCGCTTGCAGCTGCTGATTGGCTTCTCTGCTCCACACGGAGAGTCAGTCTGCCTGCTAATTATCCCGCTTCTGAAGTTCAGCCTGTGGTTTTTTTGCCCCCCGCCCCCAGGTGCTCCTCTGCCTGAGGTACATTAAGTTCTGCCCAGCGCCAGTAATGGCACCGGGACCTCGCAGGTGCCGTTAACCAGCTTCCAAAGGGGAGGCTGTATAAATGTCGCATTTCTGCCAATGTGCAAAAGACCCAAGAATCGAATTACTCTTACATAGCATGCAGCACCTGGACTCTCTCTAAATCTAAAAAATAGAAGGGAATACTGAGCAGATGAAAGTAGAGAGGTCCATTGGTCACAGTTAGTTAAGTTTAAAAAAATAATAATAAAACTGCAAAATTCACCTGGATAAGCATAATATAAAATGTATCTAAATAAAATGATGGTAATTACATAAAACGACTTTAAAAGGCTATGTGTAACAATCACACCACTGGATACACATTTGCTACTGCAGGGATGAGATGATAAATAATTAATATAATTTAATATAATTACTTGTTTTAAATAATGGTGAGTTTTCAGAGCGCAGTGGTAAATGGCTACGTGTTTTTGTTGTTTTATGTAGCGCCCATAATTAGCCCGTGGCACCGTCTGCCGTAAATCTACACACGATGCCAGCAGACCTATTAACTAATACACCTCATTTAATTCCCAGAGCCCTTTCATTGATGGATGACCCTTCCTCTGATCTATTAATAATGTCCTCCCTGAACATGAACTTTCATTAATGACGAAGGGGGAAAAATGGCTTCCGTTATTGATCGGGGCCTCCTCCCGGCCGTCCAGTTGGGAAATCGATGCTGTGTTACAGGCTGGTCATACTTTTGAGTGAGAACAGGAGGGGGACGTGGATGTGATTACAGTCGGGTCTGTATCCTGTTGTTTCTCGACTGTAAACAGCACCCACCGCGCTCGATCGCGTGCGCATGTGTTGACATTTAGTGTCCTGCCAATCTCCCAGCTCTTTCAGGACTTCCTGCTCTTTGCCAGGTTCTTCCCGAGCTCCTGAGACATCCCCACGGGTTTTAGTTGACCACTTACTACTGAGGAACGGGACGGAACGGCCCATGATGGCGGCTTGAGCTGAATCTCAGGACTGCTACCAGGAGGAAGTCGGGGTGTCGGTCTTGGACCTGAAGGATCTTGCTGTTTCTAGATGCAATAACCTCTAGCTAACTGAGGCACCATAGGCGGTCTGGAGCTCATTCACACTCTATCCACTGCTGTCCATAATCAGGCCATAATTAGCCAATACAACTTCCTGCTTATGTCTCAGTCAGTGTTCCAGGTACCTGTGCTTCTTGTGTTGTGCCAGGACAGCCGGTCCTGTGGTCAGAGAATTAAAGATAATGGTGGAAAATGATCTAAACAAAGCTGCTGTGTGCTGGGGGTTTAATGATGATGGATTCGGATGAGTGGTAATTACCCCCTATGGTCTCCGTGTGCGCTCGGTGAATGGTACCGCCTCAGCAGGCAAATCCAGCAGTCTGGAACGAGGCAGGAAGGAACAGGGGCGGGAAGAGGAAGGAGTGAGTGTGAGAGAGACGGTCAGAGGAGAAGGGTGGGTGGCAGTTTAGGGTTGAGAGACATTTCCAGGTCAGCAGTTCCTGCTGCCTCTTCTGCTGGCCTCCCTGCCTCCAGCAGTCTGCGCTGACTCGCTATGTTATTCTTTCAAAGAGTTTTTAAGGTTTTTTTTGTTCCTTTTGCCAGTTCATATTTTTAGGTCTGGTTGTTTCTTTCCAGACTTATACAGTCTCCCCCAGAAGCACAAGTCTGAAATAAATTCTTTCTCACCTGCTTTTTGCCTTAAGGGGGGGGGGTCACCATAGCGACACTATGCTAATTTTTGTTTGCCTGTGGCAGCGCCCTGCTCATTTGGCGCCGGTGTTCATTCCAGGACCGCAGCCGCAGATGCTGCTAATTAACTGAAGAGTCGCCCATCCTACACTGCAGGCAGGAGCGCCACATTTTACAATCTGCACTTTATCGATTCTGCTGCACGGCCCGGTGCTGAAGGCCGTCCAACTGCCTCACGCGGAGAAGCAGGTGTCCATCAAACCCGCGATTAGGTCGTCGTCTGGTAGTTGTTGCGGAGGGATTAGACTGCTTGAGTACAGCAGTGTATAATTACTGAAACCCCAGCCTCGAGCAGACAAACACGCTCGCGCGCGTCAGGGTAAGTGAACTGACTCGCGGTCTTTATGCTTGAGAGATGTTTGTCCAGCTATCTGGTCCCAGCCTTGGGCCAAGACGAAAGCGGCGAGATGTTTTTAAGGTCCATGTGTCTGTTTTCTGTGTCCCCACAGAGCGAGTCCCCGCCTTGCATCATGTGGCTCAGCGCTGACTCAGATTTCCTGTGAGAGGCCTTGAGAGAGAGATTCATTTCCCGTCCCGTGTCAGAGCTCCCCAATCTCTCTCCCACCGGACAGGAGCCGTCGAACTCGGCCCTCGTCACCCTCTGCAGGGAGACCCGCCACATCGCTGTTAATCGTCTCCGAGACCAGTGGGCCGACATGAGTGGGCTTTTCGCCAAACTGGACCCCCGGCGGATCCAGTGGGGGGCCACGTGGCACGCCTTCCAGTCCCGTATCCTGCGCACCAAGCCCGTGGAGTCCATGCTGGATGGTGCCACCGGCACCGGCGCCCACGGCACCAAACTCGCCCGTGTGCTCACCACCGTGGACCTGGTGTCTCTCGGCGTGGGCAGCTGCGTGGGCACCGGCATGTACGTCGTCTCCGGGCTGGTTGCTAAGGAGATGGCGGGCCCCGGAGTTATTGTGTCCTTCATCATCGCTGCAGTGGCTTCAATCCTGTCAGGTGACAGTTCCCTGCCAATCACAGCCTAGTTGCACGCATGTGGACACACCCACCCAGGGACTTATAGTAAATCCAGCCTGCACTGTCACACGTCATGTTATCGCAGTTAACTCTTTATAAACACTGTGCATCCTCGTGTATTTTATCGTAGATCTTCTTCCAAAACAGGAGAATAATATAACTGGGGTGTGGACAAGTCTCATTTGAAATGGCTCTCCTCCGCACACAATTTGGGATCAGTCTTCCCTGCTCTTAATTGGCCCTCGTTCCTCGCGATGTTTCATGTAAACACCCTCCCTCACAGGAGTGTGCTACGCCGAGTTCGGCGTGCGTGTGCCCAAGACCACCGGCTCCGCCTACACCTACAGCTACGTCACGGTGGGCGAGTTCGTGGCCTTCTTCATCGGCTGGAACCTCATCCTCGAGTACCTGATCGGCACGGCGGCGGGCGCCAGCGCCCTTAGTAGCATGTTTGACTCGCTGGCCAATCACTCCATCAGCGGCTTCATGATCAACCACGTCGGCACGCTCAACGGCCTGGGTGAGTCGCGGCGGCACGGCGGCCAGCAGGGGGCGTAGTGATTCGGGGGCCATGCTCCCATTCTGAAAAGATAACTCCTGTTCGCATCTCTAAACTACTTCAGCCAGTATTCATTTATAGAAACTGGACGGTTGTATTCTTGAACTGATTAAGAACTTAATCTAAGATGACAATAAATTATGCTTGTAAATATTACTAATGGGGACATGAGGGGTGCTGCCTCGCACATTTGGGACCAGGGTTCGAGTCTCTGCCGTGCTTCCGTGTGTGGAGTTTGTATGCTCTTCCCTTGTGGTCGTGGGGTTTCCTCCAGGTACTCCTGTTTCCCCCCACAGTCCAAAAACACGCCGAGGTTAATTGAGGTTACCAAGTTGCCCGTAGGTGTGCGTGTGTGAGCGTGCCCTGTGATTGGTTGGCACCCCATCCTGGATTGTTTTAGCCTCCAACTCTGGACCTGTGGCAACCCTGAATAAGTCAATAGATTTACAGAAGATGGATGGATGGATGGGAGCATGAGGTATCAGGAACCTTTTCTGAATCCTCCAGATTGCTCTCATCCTCAGCTCCAGTCCTCAGCTCCAGTCCTCAGCTCCAGTCCTCAGCTCCAGTCCTCAGCTCTAGTCCTCAGCTCCAGTCCTAAGCCCGATCCCTGTTCCCATTCTGCTGTAACTGTTGATAATGTTAATCATCCTTGATCATATCCCAGAAGGCACAGGGAGTTTTATCTCTCACAGATGGGCCCTTGCCCATGTATATAATGTAATATACAATGTCAGTGTGAATAATGTAATTGTTTTTCCCAGCATGAGTCGCTAATGTTGCCTGAGCTCAGCGCACCCTCTTCAGACATCCCCTCCTCAGTCATGCGCCTCCTTTCATGCACAGATGCTTCGTCGTCGTGGAAACCGCCCCAGTTCTGAGGCTTGGTCCCTGAGGATGGACGGAGCGATGGGCGGGGGGGCCGCATGGCAGTGTTTCACAGTGACACCTTACGTCCCTGCTTTTCAGGGGCATTTGTTTCTTAAGAGCATTTTGCTGTTTCTGAATATAAAATACTTGTTTTGAATGTTTATAATTGACAGATTTTTGATTTTCGCCTCTGGCACGGTGCACTGGGGCAGGGGGGGGGGGTCAAATCACTGACGCCGGGGCTCAGGAAGAGAGGGATCTGTGCAGAACAGGCAGGTGGGTGTACGTGCATGTAAAGGGCATGCATTGTTTGCGAAGAGGAGGGCTCTAGGCAGTGGAGGAGTAACCCACAAGGAGGTGGAGGAGGAGGTGCACCATGGGATATGTGTGCACCACAGGCGAGTGAAATGAGCTGGTGGGTGACACAACCGCGTGGATGTCAGGTGACCAGTCAGGTGGCCAGTCAGGTGACCAGTCAGGTGACGTGGTGCCAAAATGACAGTAGGAGAGAATGTGCAGATGCGATGAAGCCCGTGTGTGTGACAGCGACACGTGACGAGCTGGGAGAGGATCCCTTCAGCTGCTGGTGCCGGCCTCCATGTTGGTGATGAATGAGTTGATCGAGCTCTGTTCCAGCGGGTTGGGGGGGTATGGGTTCAGAGAAAGGCTACCATTACTACAGTAGCCCCTGCTCACATCATGCCCCCCACCACACTGTCTGCAGGATATTACCCTTTGGTGGGGTAGAGTGGCGCCATAAACTATGTAATTCAGTGGTGGATGCTGAACCCTGCCCCCAGAGTTTATTATCATGTGCTGGGGGGGGCATACAGCTTACAGCTGACCCCGTGAGACGTGATATTACATCCTGGCTGGGGGGGACTTTATCTTCATCAGCCATGCCTGGGTCAAATAACCCCCCACCCCTCATTAAGAAGTTGGGGGGTTGTCATCAAAGCAAGCCTTTTTCAGAAATAGTGGAAAGGTTTAAGTGTATCTTCCCTTCCCTGTACAGCCACAGCAAGCTTTGTCCAGCTAATTTAAAAGCTGGTCAACTGAGAGGTATTTCTGTGAAGCCTCAGCCGTCTGAGAGAGAGAGAGAGAGCGCGAGTGTGTGTGTGTATGTGCGCGTGTGTGTGTGTGTGTATGTGCGTGCGCGCTTTCGTCGTTCTAGCAGCTACTGAAAAGCTGACCTTGTGGGGGTGTATCCACCCTGTCACGTGGGGGTGTCTCTTTTGACATGCTCTTCTTTTTCACAGATTCTTTTGATTCTGCTAAAGTGCACGATGTCCCTAAGCTTTTTTTTTCATCTTTTATCAAGTTTCTGTGGGATGACGCTAGGAGCTGTTTATTACACTGATAAAGTGCTCAGTGCGATGATGCTACAAGAAAAACTGAATCCAAAAGTGTGTGTGTTTGAGAAGGAAAAATAATGAATTACCTATCTTATCCACCCCCCACCAGGCAAAGGAGAGCAGTCGTACCCGGACCTACTGGCGCTGCTGATCGGCATCTTGGTGACGGTGATCGTGGCGCTGGGCGTGAAGAACTCGGTGGGCTTCAATAATGTGCTCAACGTCATCAACCTGGTGGTGTGGGTCTTCATGATGATCGCCGGCCTCTTCTTCGTCAATGGCACCAACTGGGACGAGGGGAGGTTTCTGCCTTTCGGGTGGTCCGGGGTAAGCACTAAAAGTGTGCGGCTCTTTCCACGGGACGGGATGGGACTGAATTATCCAGGGTCTGTTGGCTAACCGCTGTGCCGGCGCCCCCCCCGCAAGGCGCTGAGGGCCGAAGGCCCGGTCATGCGCATGGGACAGATGCACCGCTTCACTAATTAGCAGTAGCCTGCTTACGCCATGCGGTGGCTGCAGCAATTTGAAAGGCAGCAGTCTGCTTGGCACAGAGTGTACCAGCGAGGCACACCCTGTCTGCAAAGCATCTGTTCAGGTATTAAGGCCATGCAGACAGTCTCTGGCACAGATCCGGAAACCATGATAAGATTTAGTCCGAACTGGCTGAATCACATTTATATGAAGTAAAAAAAAAAAAGTAATTTACATACTTAAGCAATTCGTTTACACAACATGATTCTTTTTATGTGCATTCTGAATGATTCATTTGAAGGACCCCAAACAGTTTGTACAGATATAGGTAATTGGCTGTTGAAAGTTAGTTTTTTTTCCCAGAATTCCTGCCGAGGCCCCCTTTCAGCTATCCACCCTGATGCACAGGTGCTCGGGTGGGGGTGAAGTAACCGTGGAAACCGTGTGTTTTCGGCAGGTCATGCAAGGAGCCGCCACCTGCTTCTACGCCTTCATTGGGTTCGACATCATCGCCACCACGGGGGAGGAGGCCAAGAGCCCCAACACCTCTATCCCCTACGCCATCACCGCCTCACTGGTCACCTGCCTCACCGCCTACGTCTCTGTGAGTACCCAGCATGCCCCTCAGGACCCCTGAAGGTGTTGCTGTCCAGGGTGTGCAGTGAACTGGATTCTGTTCAAAGCTGCGTTCCAGGGTGTGCAGTGAACTGGATTCTGTTCAAAGCTGCGTTCCAGGGTGTGCAGTGAACTGGATTCTGTTCAAAGCTGCGTGCAACTGGCTCGAGTTCAAAAGATTTCTCTGAACCTCTTTTGAACTTCATGTCTGCCTGCATGAATTTGCGCAGGACTGCTGGCTTTCTGCTCACTAGGCTCAACGAGACACATTCATCCCTACTCTTGGTTGCCATAGTTACATATTAATACAGTGGGCTGTTGCTCTACAGACAGTCATACTGCCACCTAGAGCCACTTTGGAACAGGTCTGACCAACCCTTATCACCTGGGTATCTTCCAGAAACCGGAAGATCTCTGCTCTTTTCGAATCAGTTGAACTTTCACCTAGTTCGCTGACCCCTAACAAAGCGGCATCCAATCAGATATAATGTAACGGGTAGGTTCGGCGAATTGGAAACCAAACCGCTTGACGACCTGGAAGAGAAACTAATAATTGTAGTATCTAATAATTGTACTAGTACCCCGAATTATTTAACGTCACCTTAAAGTCACTTCATTTAGAGAAATTCTACTTGGAGGTGTATACATGCAGACACAGGGATACCAGGTTGGTTTTAGTAAACATATTTAGCTAATAAAACTAAAGTAAATGTACTTATAAACACATTTTTTGATCCAATAGCAAGAGAGCAAGAACTTTTTTGTGTAAACCAACAATGTAACTCATTTTGTTTTATGCTGAAAAGCACTTTACAATGGCACATAGTTTGATGGGCTCTTCACGCGCTCTTTCATGACGTAGTATTCACCCGTCCAGCAGCAGGCTAGGACTTTCAGAGGCCGTTGAGCACCGAGGACCTTTGCAACACCTGAAATCCACCCCTGAAGCGTAGTCCTCTCCCCCATGTATCTGTAGGTAAGCGTCATACTGACCTTGATGGTGCCCTACAGCGAGATCGACGCCGACGCGCCCCTCATGGAGATGTTTTCCATCCACGGCTTCCAGGCAGCCAAGTACGTGGTGGCTGTGGGTTCGGTGGCCGGGCTGACAGTCAGCCTCCTCGGCTCGCTGTTCCCCATGCCGCGGGTCATCTACGCCATGGCCGGTGACGGCCTGCTTTTCAGGTGAGGAGCTTCAGGCTATGGAACAAGGTGGACATTTCATATCCAGACAGTAAAAATCCAGACTTTTTTGTTTCACCCAACCAGTAGAGTACTCCAAGACCGTGACTCATTGCCAGTCATTGTGGAGGTCCCATCATACACAAAACACACATTCATATCATTATTCTTTTCTCTACCAATGCTCGCTAAGCTTGCCAGAGTCATTTTACTAGAAATCTGGCAGAATTTAAAGGTTCTTTGAGTGGATGTTCAGGCCCGTCGAGTAAAAACAGACCTCGCTTCCATTTTGATGCGTTCCCTGTGCCTTCAGGTTCCTGGCACACGTCAGCAGCTACACGGAGACGCCAGCGGTGGCGTGTGTGGTCTCGGGCTTCCTGGCGGCGCTGCTGGGCCTCCTGGTGAGCCTGCGGGACCTGATCGAGATGATGTCCATCGGCACATTGCTGGCCTACACGCTGGTGTCAGTGTGCGTGCTGCTTCTGCGCTACCAGCCCGAGGGCGACATCCACGGCTTCGTCAACTTCCTGTCGGAGGAGAGCGCCAAGAGGAAGGAGGGCGTGTTAGCCGAGTGCGAGAAGGAGGCGTGTTCGCCGGTCAGCGAGGCCGACGACTACGGCGGCGCGCCGGTCAACACTTGCGGGGCTAAGAACCTGCCCTCACTGGGGGACAACGAGATGCTCATCGGCAAGCCCGACAAGTCGGCCTACAACGCGAGCCACCCCAACTACGGCACGGTGGACATGGGGACGGGCATCGAGGCCGACGAGTCAGAGAGTCCCCACCTGCGGAAGCTGAAGAAGCTTCTGGGTCCACGGTATTATACCCTTCGTATTCGCCTGGGCCTTCCGAGCAAGATGGACCGGCCCACCCCTGCCACGGGCCACACGGTCACCACTTGCGTCATCCTGCTCTTCATCCTCATCTTCCTCTTCTGCTCCTTCATCATCTTCGGCTCCGACTACATTTCGGAGGGCAGCTGGTGGGCTGGGCTGCTGGTGGCCCTGCTGGTTCTGCTGGGCGCCGGCCTGATCTTCGTCATCCTCCAGCAGCCGGAGAACCCCAAGAAGCTGCCCTACATGGCGCCCTGCGTGCCCTTCGTGCCCGCCTGCGCCATGCTCGTCAATGTGTACCTCATGCTCAAGCTCTCCAGCATCACCTGGATCCGCTTCACCGTGTGGTGCTTCGTGGGTAAGTGGCGTGCTTGCCTCGCTTCCTCTGGGGGGTGCCGCTGAGCACTGCAAATAAGCTGTGTGATCATGAGACCATCATGCATCTGTCTCAGGAATTTGTCGGGGTTTTACTGCTGACTAGCTGAAAACAAACCCATTTATAGCAAATGCTGCTTCCTGCACACTGTATGTTCATCTGGACTCACCCAGCTGCACGCAGGCAGTCTGTGACCTTAGCCTCTAGTTAGCATTACCCCCTCAAAGGATGACGCTGACCCCAGCTGGCCCTCTCCTCTTGCATCCCCACGCCCCTTTGGGCATATAAACTCTGAGTTTAATCCTTGTGCTTGTCTTTGTTTGCGTGTGCGTGCATGCGTGTGGCAGGTGTGCTCATCTACTTCGGCTACGGCATGTGGAACAGCACGCTGGAGATCACGGCGCGGGAGGAGGAGGTGCACGCCAGCACGTACCAGCGCTACGGGGCCGACGTGGACGAGGGCTTCACCGCCGACGATGACCTCTACCCCGGTGGCGACGGCGGCCCCTTCCAGCCGTGGGGTGCCCCCGGGGATACCGGCTACTCCTTCGAGCAGCAGCAACAGCCGGCGCCGGCGTCTGGCGGCGGAAACGACATTCGGACCTCCACACAGAGCAGCAGAGCCAAGAGCAAAGGCAAACCGGGCCACGGCTTCGAGGCCCTGATTGTGGACGATGAGCTCGACTACTCGCCAGAATGAGAACACACTCAGGTGTACTCCAGTGTCAGCCTGGCCTCCCATGGGCTAGAATGTTACCTCCAGCCCCCACCCCCACCCCCTTTAGCATTTTGCTTACAGGCTGTTTTCTATTTTAAAGGTTTATTGCCATGATAGCTTGCGTGTTTTTCTGGATAAGTGTGAGTTAATTGGTGCCTAACGAGTCTGAAGCTAATAGCTAATTGACCATTCTGTCCATTCATTTGCCCTGTAAGTCACCACAGGAAGCACTGCACCAGAGCTGGACACAGATGAATTTTCTAATTTGTTTTTTTACTAAACTGCCAGATAGGCCTTGGCCAGCAGGGTAGAGGAGCGGGTTGCTGGCTTTACAGAGCCAAAAGGGAAAATGATTGGTTCAGAGAGATAACCAATCAGATTGTAGAGGAGGTGGGGCCAAGCCACTGGGGCAGGCGGGACCAACCAATCAGATGTCTTAGTTCTGCCTCTTTTAGTTGCTTGGACCCATCTCCTCTACAATTTGATTGGTTATCTCTCTGAACCAATCATTTTTCTATCTGCCCTCAGAACATTTTTGTATAAGTAAAACACATTCTCCGATGCAGTCAAATTGGATGTTGTTTGGCCTTTGCCGCCATAGTCAGGCCCAGCTGTTTATTTTCTTTTTATCAGTTACGGCAAATTTGGTATATTGTGGCATTTACAAAGGCCCGTCGTGATGAACCGCAGATGCCCTGAGACCCAGATAAGCTTAGCTGGAAGCTTCACCAGAGTGATTCCACTCAGAAAAATGGAAGACATTTCCCCCCCTTTTTTCCCTTCTACTGCTGCTCTCTTTAAAATGACATCTAGCCCAGGGGAGGGGGTTGGGGTTGGGGTTGGGGTGGGGGGAGAGCTGCCACAAATAGTAATTGAACTTTGCTTGCAATAGTGCCTTCATTTGTCAGTGTGAGCTTTTAACTTTTCCACTGTGCTGTCCGTGTTTCTAATTTATTTACGTATTATTTCTTTATTGGACAGTCCCTCCCTGTCAGGGAAGGGGACGGGGGGGCATTCCGGGTGTTTTCTCTGTCAGTTCTGTTGGCTGTTTGTGTCGTTTCCAAGCCGGGTCCCTTGGTGCCGTCGTCAGTGGTGTCCTGCCCACACGTCCTCCTGCTCTGGCTTCTATCCCACTGGCCAAACGGGTGGCTACACATTGACTGTGCGACTCGACCGCGGTATGACCCCGCCCGGCTTGACGGTGTCTCCGCGGGGAGGAGCAAGGGGAGGGGGAGGGGGGGTTGAAGCTGTGAGACTGTTTGCATGGATGTGGGGGTGGTGCATGGATGGGGAGCCCCTGTATGGCTTTGCGCTGGATGCTGATTTCTGCAGTGTGCTGTTCTCTCAAGTTCCTTACTTCCTCCTCTGTGACTCAGGTGTTGTCAGGCAACTGTCTGGTACTCTCTCTGTTCTTTCTCACTTCCTCTCACTTGACCAGGTCCCACAAGACCCTCCCAAACGAGCCCCCCCCCCCAAAGGGAGTCCCACGGACACAAACCCATCTTAGCTTACCTTCACCTTACCTGCTGAAATACAGTAAACTCACAGCACAGTTCCGCTTCTGGCCACTTGCCCACGACTCTCAATTCAGTTCAATTCAATTTATTTTTATATAGCGCCTTTCACAACAGTCGTCCAAAAGTGCTTTACTTGGATGTGTTGTGATACATAAAACATCATTAGAGAGAGATATTTTGAAGCATAGTCTGATAACTTTTCACTTACACTCTAGGTTTTCTTCTAATTTCATGTTTTGGGGCAAAAGTGTGTGTATCCATGATTAATGACAATGTCAAAGGTGGGAACTCAGTTACAATGTGGTGAAAATTTGACGCGGCCCCATTAAGAGGCGATTATCATACTTTAACCACATTGGCTGATTTTTTTGGGGACTCGTTTGTGATAAGTCTTGATGCTGTGCGGCTGTTTTTTCCCCCTCTGTGGCAGTTTACTTAGCATGTCGGGATACGCATGCCCGGTGCAGAATCGGTGTTGAGTTGTTGCATGCGTGGTGACTAAATCAAGATGTATAACTCCTGTAAAATGTAGCAAATTGGGTGGGGGAGTTTGTTTGTTTTTGGGAACTGACCAGAGTCCCCTCTATTTTGCAGCCTTCTGTTTACAAAGTAAGCCAAAGTTTGCCATATTTTCTTTTCTTTTTTTTATTAGTGTACCTGAACAAAGTAACCATAGAATTTCCATAGACTAGCTAATTAAAGGTGTGGTATGAAAATCAATGAAAAATAAAGAGGTATTTTTTTACAGGTGTTTAATAATTGCAGGTTGGATTCTTTCACCTCGACTGGCTCCAAGTGCATGTAGAGAATGACCTCTGCATAGCATTGAAAGCATATATTTTTAAAGTCTTTCTAAAATAACTCTCAGCCGAAGTCTATTAATTTCTTTTATGAATCACAGAACCTAGATCTAGATAATAGTAGGAAATCTCTTAGTGGGGAGAAAGCTAAATTATATAAGCAAAAAGACCTATTTTATAAATATTTGTGCTGGGAAAAAAAATAACTAGATGTTGCCACTATTGCTTATAAAGTCGGCTACTATTTGTTTTATTTTTAGTCCTGGAAATCAAAATATATTGTGTTAACCTGGTAAAGCTAATCTCTCCTGGCAGACCGCTTGGCTTTCGTTCACAAAATGTTAGAACTTGCTTCCCCTGGAAATTCGGTGTTTATTTCTGCTGTATATTCTTTGCATTAATGGCATGCAGGTGTATGTATTTGTATTTGTTTTGTTATTGTTTTCACTGTGTGTTTTTTCGCCCCTTTGGTGCACAGTGTACTGACTTGTTGGTTATTCCTAAGTTATTAACTGCAGAGGCCTGTAGAGTGGCTTTTATTTTGTCGTTGTCTGACAGTATGCCATGTCTTACTACACGCCAAATAAATGTTTCGCAAAATGTGTACGTTTAGTGAAAAGCAGCCACCAGAGCAGTTCTCACTCATGTCCTGCATGACTGGGGCGGATTGGGTGCGACCGCATTACGCCGTTCCCAAAGAGGATTAGCTTAATGGCGGGTCTTTGGCATGTCAGTGATGTGAGGTGCACAGTGGAGATCACATCACCGAGCTGTTTAACCCACGTCAGTTAGGTGACTGCGCTCTTTCACGTTTGGGGTTAAACAGGGCAGTGTATCGTGCACGATCACGCCAACTCAGCGTGGCTTCCGAAGTCTCATTTCTCCAACGAAATGGGCACCCTGGATGCCATCTATCCCTCTGTCCAAGCCCAGGCTGACAGATCGAGGCGATGGTCTCACGGCTCGGCGCATGTTGGCGTGTAAGTGCATTTGTTCAGTACCCCCCCCCCCCCAAGCCCAAGCATCTCACAGCCATGGCAGGTGGGTTTAGGGGGTCAAGCATGATCCCCCCACTTTGGGCAAAAGCAATGGGGCTTCCAATCGTGGTGATTCAGGGTTTCATGGCTCGGAAGACCGGCCAATCCGTGGTCCTTCCCCCACTTGGGACCATGCCTTGCATCCTCCCTGGATAAATCCTTGGGACAGAATGTGTCCAGATTAGGATTTTTTTCTGTCAGTGTTTTTTTTTAGCCTCCTGTATGCTTACAAACTACATTGCTTAAAATTTCCTCGCACAAAAGCGCACGTCGTGTGAGTACAGATCCTTCCTAGTCCGTGTTACTCAGCAAGGTCGTCCTAAACAAGTATAAACCAGGCGCTTTATCTGTATTATTGTTAGGAGACCGAAACATTAAAGGATTTTAATTATTAAATTAAAAAACTAGGTCTGTATGTTTCAGTAATATAGGCCCCTATATATTTTTCTCTAAATAGTTTATCCCAAAGATAAACTGCGTCAGAGTGCGCGTAACCAAATGTCTGTCCTTTTAATTCTCACTCCTTACGACTTCCTCAGCTTGAATGGAGCACCTCTGTCATGATTTATTTGTTCGTCAGTATCATATACGAGGCCCATCTTACAAAACATGATAATTTTAAAAAAATGCTGCTACGTTTATTTGCGGTTCATTGAACCTGCACAATAAGCCACACTAACTGCTTTTTTTCTGTGAAAACATTTTAATATATAATACAAACAGCATGTAACAAACAAAGTGTTGCAACAATAAATAAAATACATTTTTTTATGTTAGCGTTAGAAAACTGGTTCGTGACGTTGAGCTTCGGAAGACGACAGCTACTGCAATTGCCCGAACCAGCGCTCATACTGGGCTGCGCGATCACGGTCCACATGCTAACCGTACCCTGGAAATGTGGCTGTTGTCAGCATGGGTGTCCAGTAAATACCGACATATGTTTCATTACGTTTTTTTACTAAACAGGTACGTATCCCCCAGAATATGTTTTGCTCGGTTTATTTTTAAAAATGTTTTCGTTAGTTTTTTTTTTTTTTTTACTGTACCATGCTTTAATTTTCTTAACAAAAGGAGAAGTCCTGAAAAATATATTTTTTTATTTTGTAGATGCGCCACATTTGCCACAGTACTGTTTGATCGGTAATTGGATGTCCACGCGTTACAGTTTCGTAATTTTCAAGGAAACAAAAATCTCAAAAAATATACATTAATGACAAAAATGTACAGTTTTTTAAAACAAAAATACTTTTTTGGTAGGAGAGCGATATAAAACGGTTGTTAAAAAAAGGAAATCTTTCAACGCTATTCTCCTAAAGTGCCAGAGGCCTGCTATAAGGCATTACAAGATGGGTGTTTTGAGCGCCCCCTAGCTTTGGCTGGATTCACCTGCAGGATTTACTTGCAGGAACCCATTTCTCAGCGTCTGAAAATCATGAAAGTCCATGGTGTTTCTCAGAATTGCCTGTTACCCAATGTGTTATGTATTTATGTGTATGTGTGTGTATGTATGTGCTGGTGGTGGTGGTGGTGGTGGTGGTGGGGGGGGATTAGGCAGAGCTGAGAACTGGAAAAATTGGTGTTTGGGTGTATGTGTGTAACTTTTGGAGGATGAGATCTGTAGGAGGGAGAGAGCGTTTGTAGGGGGTTGCCGCTGCTGGGAGCACCGTCTCTCACACATGGGCGCTCTTGGCATGGTTGGCGGAGCCAGGGGGAGTGCTGACCGCCCCCTGTTTGGAGTAGTAGAAACGGTTCTCGTTGTACTGGGCCGGGGAGTCGGCAGAGCAGCAGCTGATCATGCAGCCGCCCAGGAGGCAGAAGGCGGAGCCCACCCAGCCGGCGTAGAGCGAGAAACCGAAGGACATCAGGCCCTGCTCATGGTGAGCCCCGATCGGGAACCAGACGGTCGACACGATACCGCACATCGCTGCGGAAACAGAGACCGCCCGCCGTTAGTCACTGCGCACTGGAAGCGGACAGTGTCGCATAGGACAGCATCACTGAGCATGTGAGTCACATCAAGGGCTGGAACAGATCAGGTAAAGCCTGTGTTATCCTGCTAAATTTGATCAGGGACTCCACCCCAGTCACAGGTAGCTTAGAGCAGTGTTTCTCAAGCCGGTCCTCAGGTTCCCCCCCTGTCAGTCCACGTTTTTGCTCCCTCCCAGCCTCCAGGAGCAAAAACGTGGACAGTCTGGCACGAAGCTGAGAGGGAGCAAAAACGTGAACTGGTTAGTGTGCCTCAACGACTGTGTTAAACACTGCCCTAGAACACACGGAGGCTTTGAGCCATGTATTTCAATCCGGTAACCATTCCGATGTGAGAAATGCAGGACTGGGGATATATTTCTTGAAGTTTGATCAGGTAAATTTTGATCTGTGTTAAAGTCCCCCATCCTACTTTACGCCCCCATCTAAGAGCTATACAGGCTGCATATCATTAGACGAACGTAAACCACTTACCTACGAGCAGCACTAAGATGCCGCCGACCACGGATCGCCTGTTCTTGGCACTCTCCGGCTCGTTTCCCAGGTTAATGCAGGGCATGGACACCAGGACCAGGGCCACGGCGGGCAGCCCGAGGATCGAGGCGATGACCATGAGTGCGCGAGACGTCTGAATGTAGGCTGCGAACAAGGCGGACGAAATACAACCACGTGACTTTTTCAATTACAGATGCTGACCAAATTATCAATTTAGCTTGTTTTTAAAAGTCGCGTTTAGGAAATACTGTGAATTTTGTACGATGCCGCTGGGTAAGGTATAGGTTAAGGCCCAACCGATTTTTCCACGACTTTTGATTTGTTTATTTTGAAGACCGTAATCCAACATGGAATTATTGTTTTGTAATAAAAAAAAAAAAGATATGTAACGTATTATGATTACAACGTAAACTGCGGATCCACCAGTGCTATTACTTAATTAAGACGTTTTGGAAGTATCCGGATTTTAATCATATGATGCGTTTGGTGAAGATGATATGATTTTTTTTTACGCCGGATTAAATCATTCAACATATATTTTCAAAATAATTAGTTACTAAATTCAACAATTCTGTGTGTTTACATATAGTTTAATATTATCAACAATGTGATATACGGTATTATCTGTTCTGAAACTGGAATTTAAGGTAAAGAGGATAGTACGGTCAAACGTGACAAGTGTAATGACGATATGTCGGTAATTACCAGGTAAATCGAGGATCTGGGTTAGCGATATGCAGTGGTAAAGTGCCGTAGAGATCACACATTCCGCCCACAAGCCTTTGGCTCCCAGTTCGTCCATTTTCTTGCAGGTGTTCATGCCATACTTGCAGGTGACGACCCAGTCATTGGTAGCTGTCGCTATGATTATCCCTATCCAGCCGATACAACTGACCATAAAGCCGCTGAACTGCAAACAGCTGTTGGCCATGGCAAGAAGAATTTGCGCGTTCGCAGCCGGAAAGATCGCAGGTTACTTATAATAAAATTTGTATTGTAGAGAAATCAAAGGATTCTTGCGCAAAAATGTCCCTTTTATAGTTAATCCAAAGAGCAAAATATCACAGCGAGTAGTAGTAGGAATCCATCAGCTTGTGACGGTGAAACTGAAATTGTGAGGGTTATGGTATTGTCTCTGCTTTTATACCCAGTGGAAAAGCCCACGGAAACTTTAAGCCAATAGTGAGGGCAGGAGCGCATGTAACGGTAAGTCTGACCCCCCTCCCCGTCCCCGTTATCTGCTTTCCATGGGCCTTCACATTGAATCTCGTTTTAAGATAGTTCTTGACTCTTCACGTCAACAGCCCCCCTGAATATATGTAAAACTGATAACAAACAAAAAGTTTAAACTTTTTTGTTGTTGTAAAATATGCAACTTGATTCGTTTTAAATGGGACAAAGAAAAGCAGCGGTTTCCATACGAGTGTTACTGGTACAGCCTATGCAACTCCACTTTATTTTTTTAGTCAGTACTGCCATCTGGTGGTAAAATTCACACACTGCAAGCGAAACGTTAATTTTGCACAATGGACACGCAATTTCAACGCGCGATTATAAAAGCACAGAGACACCCGGAGATGTACCAAGGTTCTACTTTATTTTTCATACCTCACTGTTACTTTGGAGAACACTGCACTACTGTTCTATAAAACAAAAGTATAAATACAATTAAAACTTATTTTTCGTTATACATTCAAATCTCAGAGGAGAGTACAATGTAGTAACATAGAACAATATTTCGTTATATTAAAATTGTGCAAAACAGACACACAAATGTGCAATTTTAAGGTGCTATGATGAAAGTACAGATTCTGGCATTTTCACCCTCTTTATACGTCTATAATTACAACTAAATACTGTTAGTCACATTTGTATTCTCTAACAGAAAGCATGACGGTGGCAGGAACCAAACTAAGGTAAATTGCTATATTCCTGAAAGTAAATTTCTCCGCAATCACTCAAAAACGATCTTTCTTCCCTCCCTCAGACACTCCAAACATGACAGGCGCTGCACGGGACACGGCGCTCCTGTTCATCCAGCCTTCCATATCCTTATCCCATTTAGTGTACTTATCACGCACTTTCAGGCATGACTGAATGACGTCCAACGCGGAATGTGTGAGAGGCGCTTATCAAAAAGCCTGAAGCGGCACAGCACGGCACCGACGGCCGTCACGACAATTCAGCCCACCGGCACGTGGGTGTCATTGTAAAATATACAAATGATCGAGAATAAACAATGCGACCGCATGCAGGCCAGTTAAGTCTGTTGACAAAGAAAATTGCTACAGTGAGACATTAAGGTACTTTAGACAAAAAAAAAATACATTTTATTATTTTGAAAGCTTATATTTTTCATTTTTGTACAACTAACAACAAACGCAGTTGTATTGAATACATGATGGGCTTATACTTGCTGCCAAGGCCATAGTTTCCTACGAACCCGGAATGGTCCAGTCCAGTATCACTAATACTTTACAGGGATTCATATTACGCATAGTACCAACTGCTAGTCTGCCACAAGCAGATCAATAAAATCTTAATTTTCCCTGTGAACCTATTTTCATATACTGTTTTCTATATTATTCTCTTCCATTGTTTGGTTTTATGGACGAGTGAGAGGAGAGAGGCGGAGGTTTCTATATCTATATATAGAATTACCCCCCCCCCCCGCCCCCATTACATCGTTGCAAATTAATTTTGTAAAAAAAAAATAATAATTATAATAATAGCCACTGGTCCGTCAAAATCATGTGGAAGTATTTCGTTAAAAATGTTAATAGACATACCGTTGTAAGGCGTTTCATTCTAATAATATTCATTCTGATAATTTTTTTCTCTCCGTGTGGCTAAGCGCACATTTAACATAAAGATCCATTTCAGCGATATCACCTCAAGTGACCCGACCCAGGCCGTTTAAAACGACAGAAAGTCAACTGAAAACATCTATTGAATAGATAAATGTTACGTTTTACACGGGAAACGCGGTTAGTCTCTGCTTTGGCACTTATAAATTAATCTGAGCGGTCGATTCGTGAGTCCTTCATGTCTATGATTTGAATTTAAATGAGATCATTTACTGAATGTATCATATTAAATATAATATTAGCTTTCAGTCACACGTTTTTAAAAAGTGTTTCATAAAATGCAAATGAAAATTTAGAATTAATGTTAAACATTAAGATTAAATTAATGTTAAATATTTTAATATAGTTTTATTTTATTTTAGTCATATCAGATACCACATCCAATTATAAAGCTTACTGTGTTAAGAATTGAAGGTAAAGACAATGTTTGATATAAAAATTCAACATCTTTCCCTTTGAAGAAAATTACATAAAATGAAACAATAAAAACCTACAATGTTAGATGTGCATTTTTGTTGGAACAAAAGTGATAAAGCGGATAATTCATACTACATGGAGTTGCATTTTTAAAAACAGGCATTGGATATCAGAGATCACAGTTTGAGCCACTGTCTCGAGTTTTTGTTTGTTTGTTTGTTTACAGAACGTGCAGGAGCCACTCTAAAACACACTGAACACTCTTTAAACACGTGCCAGAGAGAGGCACCTTTCATCCATGACTCAAACCGTAGCAGAAAATCCTATAGTGGTAAGACTTCATATTGAAACATAAATTTCAGCGTTTTTCATAAGTGCTGTTATATGTACATACATAATTAAAACCATAAAAAGTGTGATACGCTATAAATCACCTCTGAAATGTCCAGCCCTGTCCTGGTTCTTACATACATTTTTGAAATTAGAAAAATATTTTCTGGAAAGGAAACTGCATTCATCTTTACGATGTTTTCTGCCATGACACTATATGAGGTTCCTTCAGGTGGTGGGGTCAGAAGATGCGGTCGAATGTTGTTTTGCTTTACGCTTGACTACATGAGCGCATTTATCTCAAACAGAAAAAGGTATCTGTTGCCAAGGAAACATGCTACATATGAAACGTCTAATATTTACAAGGGTAGCTATGAATTACATCATTACAATGTCCCTGACAAATTGATTAACTCAACTGGTTTCACACCTTTAGTTCCCGGCCTCATTTTACCCCAAAGTCACATTTGAAGACTTGGATAACCTCTGAAGTAAGTGCACAAAATGACCTATGCCGTATTCATTATAAGACAGACCTCGACCCTCAGATTGACGTGTGGAAAAGGTAAGTATTGAGTGGACAGTCTTAAAATAATGTCCTAAGTTAATACAATTAATGCCTTTTGGTTTGAAAAGAAGTGAAATATGGTTACATAGAATACGTTATGATGTAAAACTGTTTTAAATGACTGTCATATTAGACAGAGCCTATAATATACATACTCTTACAATTTAAGTGGATTTGCGTTAAATGCTACTAATGACAGACTAACTCTTGCGAACACTATTGCACTGCATTGTGGGTAATTCCCTGATGCAGCGCAATAGGTAAATGACTGGGAAAGTCTGACAGAAGAACAAACCTTGTTCTCTGAGGCAGAGCAGCAGACCAGCCAACTGGGGACAGTCAACAGTCATCCATGTGAGCGCAGCCTCCAGCAGGGGGCAGTGTAAAGCGGGCCGGCCTGTTGCTAGGGCTCCTTCAGGGAATTTATGCAGGCGCAGATCTTGAGCGCCGGTCCCAGCTTTATGTTCATGGCGCCCATGAGGTGCTCCTCAGTGAGGAGGAGCAGGGCCTGCCCATCGATCTCTTGCGAGCGGAACTCCTCGGCAATATCCTGGCACCCTACAGGGGGAGACGGGCACAGAATCAAGCCACATGGGGCCATAGGGAAGGAACTGTACAAGAAATTACATTAAGCATGTAATTCAGACCCCCTGCCTCTAGGTGGGGGTGTGGCAGTTTCAGCACCGCTACATCCATTACCTGGCAAATTGTAGATGAAGCTCCAGACCTCCTCCACGCTCCACAGGGTGGGGTTAGAGGCCGGGACTTGCACCCCGTCCGAGCCATCTAAGGCCTCGCTCGCCCTCAGGTTCCGCTCCCGGACGCGCTCCCGCTCTGTCTGTAGCCGAAGCCTTGTCGTCATGGGAACAGGAGGCTCCTCCTCCTCCTCCTCGTCATCCTCCTCGTGTGACGGCTGGTGTTCGCCTCCGCTGCTGTACGGGGCTGCCATCTGCGGACAGGCAAGCCCCTCAGACGCTGACGGCAGAGCGTCCGAAGGCCCCTCTGAAGCACGAGTGCGGCGGCAGAGCGCCCCGCCTGCTCACCTGCCGCAGGAAGTGATCCCGGGAGCCTCCGTCGATGCGGCGGGGGGGGCGCCCCCGCCTCCCGTCCGTCCTCCGGGGCCAGCGCGCAGCTTTGTCTGCCTTCAGGAGTCCGATGCGTTTGGTGCAGCTGACGTTGAATCTGAGACCATCAAGAAATTGATGGAGACCAGAAGACCAGTATCTTTATAATACTATAACTTTATAATAGCTAAATAATAGCTGAAGCTATAAGATTATATAATTAGATTTCACTTTCATCACGTCCCATCAGGGGCACATTAAAGGGGAGATATTTAGAATCATTCCAATGCCCCCCAAGTGATAGGGGGCTTGCAAAATTTGGAACATGGATTGGTTTGGGTTGGGGGCACCCCTGTGTCTCACTGCAAGACAGCGCTGCACTTTATCGACTTCGATTTTGAAATCGTTTCTCTTTTTGTGCCGACCTTCGGACGCAGGTCATGGAGCAGAACCTCTTGGACCTGAGGAACATGTGGGCGTAGCCCGTCTTGCCACAGAACTCGCACTGCAGCACCTCTGGCCGCTCCTCTGCCACACCTGCCAGGAGAAACACCTCCACGTTACATGTGGAAACGCCCCCTACTGGTGGCCTACCTGCCCAGATGCGGGGGAGGAGTAACTCACCGTCCACGACATCGCCCGCGGCGGCCATGCTGACGACCTCGTCACCGTCCGAGTCGCTGGAGTTCTCCGGCTGCTCCGTGTCCATCATGGTGTCGTCGGGCTGGGCGCCGTTTGCCTTGGTCTCCTGGGCTTCAGGCAGTGTGGCCTGCTGCTCCACCCCCAGCGAGGAGCGGCTGACCTGCAGCGAATGATCAGTGTGTATCCTGCAGCATCCGGAACTCCAAGGCAGAGGCCGACAATGACATGGTGGGTGTCCGGGCTGCTTTAACAATGGAGTTCTTACAGCGGTGATCTTAATCAATCTCAGAACTCCCGCATTTCTCTGGATTAGAACCACCATACTTGAGCCAAATTCTTGCCAAATCACTCTGCCACCAGTTTTAATGGCTACACCATTAATGACTGGTGGGCCTTGGGCTTTTGCCAATATACCACAGCGGCAGCAAGTTTGTACCACACATGGCTCCCTCTTGTGGACATACCGGGAACGGCTCCAGCCCCTCTTGGATGACGAAGCCCTCAATGAGGTGTGTGAGGATGTGGGGTTTAACGATCGCCTGTGGGGGCTGGCTCTCAGGACCCCCTGGTAGGCTGGCTGGGGGGTGCTTGCTGACGCTTCTTACCACGGCCGGGAGGAGGGGAGGGGGGGAACGGTTGATATAAGGGGGGTCCCCGGAGGATCGTATCACAGAGGCGTTGCCGGTTGACGGTATGCAGGAGAAGCCAGAAACAGCTGGAGAAACAGAGGATAGTTTCACCACACTGGATCTCCATCGCTCCAAACTGGCAAAAGACAAACAGCATCGACCCAGCATTCCCAGTACCTGTGCAGTCATCCGAATGGGGCAAGACATCATTGCAGTTCCTCTCTAAGTCAGCAGATGGCGACAGAGTCGGCGGCGTCGGGGTCCTGTTCCGCTGTGGACTGCTAAGTCGGTCCTCCCGCGCATCTGCCGTGCAAACCCCTTCCACCTTGCAGAGCTGCTGGGCTGGCTACCCAGCATGCAACACATGCCAAATTGTCACACACACAAGCTCTATATGCCGTTCGCTTTCTAGAATTAAGAAACGGCAACTTGACGGGGATGAGAGAATGTGAGAAACGTGTAATGTAGGAGGTGTCTTAACGACATGTAAATAATTTGACACTTTGAGATGGGTGGTATGCACAAGAGGACCCACGATCCCACAGTTCTGTGCTGGGTATCGTCTTATGCTGCCTTCCACTTGAACTCAGAAGTCGGAAAGTCCAAGTTCCTAGTCGGAAATATCAACTGGAACGCCAGTCAAAATTCTGACTCGAGCTCAAAATTCAAGATGGCTGCTCCGCTTATCAACAGAAGTTAAAACTGTGGTTATTTACACCTTATTAGAACTTACGTCTTATTAATGGCTCATTAAATCTGTCAAATACACAGTACTGCCTAACTGCTATCTATGGACATGTTGCTATGGTATTTTCATGTGCAAAATATCTTGTGATGCGTTGTTATCAACTGATATTGCTAACAATGGTCACACTTAAGTGAGGCTAGAACATTCAGGAAACATTATTTCTTGCTGAGCCAGATAACTTGTCGGATTTTAAGCAATGTGGACTAAATGTAAGTGGACTAAGATAAAATCCATTTAAACTGGAGTACCTTAAATCTGTCAAATGATTAACTTGAGTGTGACGTCATTCCCAGCTCTGACCTCCGACCTCCAAGGTAAATGGAAGGCAGCATCTAACTGGTTGCTGGGGCGGCTCTGAGGGACTCACCAGTGGAGCCTCTGCTGGAACGATCGGCTGCACCTTCAGGTCAACGGCGATGGTCTGTGGCGGCGGGAGATTCTGGAACGGCATCTGGACCAGCGCCTCGGCCACCGGGAGCTCCTCCTCGGAGAGCAGCATTTGGCCCGACTGTGCGGCCAGGGCCTGCACCGACTGCAGGGAGAGGCGCTGCAGTGAGGCGGGGGGCGGCACAGGGGGCTGGGACACCTGGGTCAGGGGCACCGGGCTGGACATCGGTGCAGACTGAGGGAGGGGCTCCGGATCAAGATGTGAGGGGCCGGACACCAGGACCGGAGGCTGGGGTTGGATGATGAGGGTAGGCGACTGGCAGGTGGGTGACTGGGGGGTCGCCGTGGACACGACCACCGTTTCGGGAAGCACAGGCTCAGAGTTAGAGGGTGGAGGGAGGGAAACCGTATTACGCTGCGAGTGGATCGTCCCTGGGGTGGGCATGTCCAGAGTCGGGACGGACAGGCCATGCTGACAAGGGGGAGTCTCCTGTGCGGTGACCCGCAGGGCGATGTGCTGGACGTGCCGGTGGGAGGCAGTGGGCTGCTGGATAATAAGCTGGTGGTGCGCCCCCTTGTGGCCAGGTGTGCAGTGCAACTGGTGCTTCACCAACGACTGAGACTGAACTGCTGAGTACGGACCTGACGTGAAAAACAAGTGTCAAAAACATGTTAAACATGCAGAAAACACTTTGAGATCATTTTTTATGTCTCCTGGGCAGTTTTACTCCTTTACCTAAGATAGTGGTTCTGAACCAGCCTAAACTGGAAAAACTGGGGAAAGGGTAACTTACTAGGTACTACGAGCTGATGGGCAGGCGGTAACCGGGGGACGTCGTTGCCGCGGGTTTCAGTCCCGGGACCATCTGCAGTGACGTCCGGCTGCTGAATGTTCCCCGGGATTCCCGTAGGGCTCTTAGGGAGGGGGGGCGCCACCATCTGTCCTTGTGTGGTGGTCTTCAGTGGGTCAGTGTGGGCTGCGGGCGTGCTGCCAGGGGGTTGGGTCCGGAGGGTCAAACTCTGGACCTGAGTGAGGAGGGGATGGGTACATATCAGCACCTCCAAGTGGAAATCTGCCCTTAACAGCATATACAGCCCCAGGAGATACAAGCGGGCTGAGGCCTGAGCCGCACTCCTGATCGGATACCTTCTGGCCCCTCCCTGTAGGGGGCGCCACACGCCCACGCGCACACACGTGGCGGCAGCCCACCTGAGTGGAGGCAGAGGACACCACTGGGAGCTCAGGCTGCACCGTTGTCATGGTGGCGGCAGGCGTGAGGATCAGCTGACAGAGAGATGGAGACGGCACCAGCGTGAGAGGGAGGGAGCGGGAGAGAGAGAGCGAGCGAGCGAGAGTCAGATGAGCAAATCCTCAGTGTCATCTCAATCTCTGTGATCTGACTTTTTCCTGCTTCCCTTCTCCTTCCTGCTAAACGCTTATCACTGCGCTATATTAAAAATATGATTTGACCTAGAGCTCAAGAAACCCTAAAATGAATACTCCCCAAAACACTGAAATGATATAGCATATGCGATGGTGTCTATATATATGCCGGTGTTGTGTGGCTCAGTGGGTTAGAATGCTGTGTTTGATCAGCAGGTTGCCGGTTCAAAGCCTAGATTCAGCACGGTTACTTCCCCATTGGGCCCCTAACCCCAATTGCCCCAGGGGCCGGTTGTCCCTGCTTTCGCAATTGTACGTCCTTTTGGATACAGATGTCTGCTAACTAACTTAATAATAAATTGCACGGCGATCTGGGAAACTCATGTGCGGAATCAAAAAAGATCTTAGCGCGTCAGCTAACAGAGTAAACGCTAAGGAAACGCTTATCATAGGCATGACTAATATTTCTCTCACATACTGGAGAGCAGGCTGGCTTCTAGAAATGTGGGTCTGCGCTCCCCTTGTGAATTTCCGCGTGTCTGAGCGCCGTCACGGGGGATGCCCTCATACCCCCTGTGGAACGCTGCACTTCACTCGACCCGCTCGCATGATAATCTGATGTCTGTCACCATGTAATGACAACACTGCTGGATACGTGACATCATAACTGGTGATTATTAGATATAATATCATACTGCTCATCTGACGATTGCATCTTCATGACTTACACACTACCACTGCGTCTGGCTTACAGCTTTAAGTTCACGCACTATGTTTCCTGCTGTTTCACTATATATTAATCTGGCCTCTAATAAGTGTCTCATAAGTGTCAGGAGATTCACTTTTTTAAGCCTTTTTCCTTCCACAGCAGGGCGGCATGAGCATCAGAAGTAACACGTAATCCTCGGCTCGTGTAATATTCAGGTCATGTTTATAGAATTAGTATCTTTATGGAACTTGTAACGTCTGTTAGCAAAATGACCATATGGCGGAATGTGAGTCCATTTTCTGTGATGTGACATTTACAGAAGGGTCACCCAGTTTAAAAAAAAAAAAAAGCCCACATATGAAGGGGAAAACCTTTGGAGATGCAAAGGCTGCTATCTGGCCTAGATTCTCCTAAGTTTGCCTTGCACGCTACCTGTGATGTCACAGAGTGACTAATTCCTGAAGATAAAAGTGGAAACGGTAATAGACTTTGGAGGCGTTGAATAATACATGTGGCTACAGTCTCAAAACGTTGGGGCTGTAACTCCACTCTGAGAAATATTACATTTGCAAATTAAAGTCTAGTCTAGTCTATGACTGCGCCACCTGCTGGCTGCTATCGTACCATTTGTGTCCGTAGATACACTTGGGCCTGGCTACAAGCAGGCGAGCCATTGCCCAGCAGCATGGCCTGCTGGGATACCGTGCCCCCGCTGGTAGAGGAGCTGCCGCTCTGCGTTCGGCCAATCAGCTGCTGCGTCACTGGAGCAGCAGGAAGTGTGATCTAGGGAGGACATAGATTTGACGTTTTCATTGGTGAATGAACAGGAACAGGTGAGTCTGTGAGCCTAAGGCTTGGTTATATTTTAAAGAAGCACTATCAGACCAAGCTGTACAGGATGTGATGCATGGAAAAAAATTCACATAGACAGGAAGCTTAACAAGCATTTCTGTGTGTTCCTTTGTGTGGTCCTAATTGTATATTTTGTTACAAAAATCAAAGGATTTTATACAATACTTGTGTTTGTATTTTTAGAATGACCTGGCAGTTGATTATAGGTCACTTGATAAAGACTTTCTTCCCCTTCTGGCTATTCCTTTCATACTGATGCGTGTTCTCTGGCCTTCAAGGGAAGCTGTTCACTCCTCAATCAGCAATTCAGGTGAGGATGTTGGCTGAGATGGGATGGCAGAAAACTGCTGAGGATTCTAAGAGTGTTTGAAAACTCACATTATATGGACAAAAGCATTGGGACACACCTCTTAATCATTGATTTCAGGTGTTTCATTCAGACCCATTGCCACAAGTGTATAAAATCAAGCACCTTGCCATGCAGTCAGGTTTACAAACATTTGTGAAGGACTGGATCGTTCTGAAGAGCTCAGTGAATTCAAGCGTGGTACAGTTATAGGATGGCACCTTTGCAATAAGTGTGTGAAATTTCTTTTCTGCTAGATATTCCACGGTCAACTGTAAGTGGTATTATTGCAAAGTGGAAGTGTTTATGAAGAACAGAAACTCAGCCATGATGTGGCAGACCATGTAAAGTGACAGAGCGGGAGTGCTGAGGTGCATAGTGTGTAAAAGTCGCCAACGCTCTGTTGACACAGTAACTACTCTTCTGGAACAGTCACAAACTTCCTTTGGCATTAACTGCGGCACAACAACTGTGCCAGGAGCTTCATGGAATGGGCTTCCATGGCCGAGCAGCTGCATGAAGTCCTTCTATCATCAAGCTCAATGCCAAGTGTTGAATGCAGTGGTGTAAAGCGTGTCACCACGGGACTCTGGAGCAGTGGAAACGTGTTCTGTGGAGTGATGAATCACGCTTCTCTGTCTGGCAGTCTGATGGACTAGTCTGGGTTTGGCAGATGCCAGGAGAACGTTACCTGCCTGACTGCATTGTGACAACTGTAAAGTTTAGTGGGGGAGGGATAATGGTATGGGGCTGTTTTTCAGGGGCTGGGCTAGACCCCTTAGTCCCAGTAAGAGGAACTCTTAATGCTTCAGCATATAAAGATGTTTTGGATGATTCTATGCTTCCAAATTTGTGGAAACAGTTTGGGGAAAGCCCTATTCTGTTCCAGCATGACTGTGCTCCAATGCACAAAGCAAGGTCTATAAAGACATGGTTTTGTGAGTTTGGTGTGGAAGAACTTGACTGGCCCGCGCAAAGCCCTGACCTCAACCCCATCAAACACCTTTGGGATGAACTAGAACAGAGATTGTAAGCCAAGTCTTCACGTCCAACATCAGTGCCTGATCTCGCAAATGCTCGCATGGATGAATGGGTGAAAATTCCCACAGACACACTCCAAAGTCTTGTGGAAGGCGATTCCCAGAAGAGTGGCAGCTGTTATAGCTGCAAAGGGGGGACCAGCTCCATATTGATGCCTACGGATTGAGAATGGGATGCCATAAAGGTTCCTGTAAGTGTAGTGGCCAAGTGTCCCAATACTTTTGTCTATTTAGTGTATATGTAACCCGTGGGAGACAAAGACAAGCACGCTGGGAATATAGCTGAATGCCCAGTGCAGGAGCAGAGAAGGGCAACTGACAGGTTTGGCACTTGAAGACTGTCTCCCCAGGCTCACCGAGGTCTGCGAGGCACCGGGCGATGGGGGCACACTCTCGCTGGGCACGGGCGAGGAAGAGGGGGACTGCCTGCTTCCTGCAAGTGAGGCCTAAGAAGGAGAGACTTGATACGCCATCAGGCCAAAACAACAAGGCCGACCGCAGCAAGCGAACTTCTGAACTTCCGGAAACGCCGGTGATGCCGTGGCCCCTGAGCAGACCCTGCCCATTCGGGCTATTTAGGGGGGATGCGGGCAAAGCCAATTAGTAGCTTAGCAAGCAGTTTAATCAGTTTAAGCGACTGGAGTGGTTGGGCTGGCTATCATCAGAACTGAGGAGGAGAAGGTAGAGTAAAAAATGGATTACAGCAGGAGGAAAGTGGCCCACCACCAGGAGAAGCCGGGCCAACCTTTACTGGGGCCCTAAGCAAAATGTAATAACCTAGTTGGCATTTGTCATCTTCTATCCCATCCTGAGAGGCTGATCAGATGTGGCCGCGCCCTGGTGGCTCCTGAACAGGAGAGCGTAGGGCCTGCAGGCGGGGGGGGGGGGTGTCCACACTGGACATGCACACACCTGCTGCACATTGGCCAGGTGCTGCTGCTGTTGCTGCTGCTGCAGGGCGGCCGTCTGCAGCATGAGGTGCTGTTGCTGCGCCGCATACATCTGCTGCAGGTACTGCGCAGCCATGCTCTGGGGCCGCTGCACGGCCTGCTGGATCACCTGGGGGGGAGCGGAGGTGCGGGGAAACGTCACAACGAGCATTACTGTGAGATGGACTCAGTGGCTAGTTATCAGAGGGGGAAAGTTCCGGGTCAGAAAGTACAAATCCAGACCGGAGTTTTGTTTCAACCAACCAGATGACTATAAAGAGTCTCATATGATATTATATTATATTATAAATTGCAACCTGTGCCTCTACTGTGAGTCACACTGGATAAAGGCGTCAGATTAATGAACAAATGTAAATGTAATGCTTGCTAATGCAAATGGAATAACCCTCCCAACAACCAATCGTGTGGCTGAAACTGAATAATGATATATTCATATTGGTAATAGTATGTTATTCATTGTATGTTAATATCAGTACATGGTTTTCTTTTTTAAACAACTTTTATAATATTTGCTCTGAACACTGTTGTGAAAATCAGGCAGGTTTTGGGCAGCCTCGGTCTGGTCCTTTTTTGTTTAGAAGAGGAGGCCAGCTTCCTTCACAGGGGTGGGGGAGGGGTGGAATGACTCACACCAGCCAGACCACAGCCAAATGCACCGCAAACCAGAAACCCTCACCGCCAGTACCCCCCGCTCACAGGCAGGGGGCAGACATGAGAAGGCAACGCGAAGGTGAGCATGTGTGTCGCCGTGACAACGACACGCAACATAACATTTGGCCCGCCACCCACGTGGCCGTCACAGGGCCAGCGGCCTACGGGCCAGGACCGTTACCTGAACCGCCTGCCGATCGGCGGGGATGCTGAACAGGGAGGTGGGGGGTGCGGTATTGCGGACAGGGGCGGAGGTGTTGGCTGGGCTGCTGCCAGGGCTGCCCGTAGTCGTGGTGGCGGTGGCACTCCTCTCGCCCTCCATCTTTGCCTGTGCTCAACCTGTCCGTGTGTCCGTGGTCGGGGGGGTCAGGTGGCTGGCTGAACACAGACAGTTTGTGAGTCAGTTTGATGATACATTGGCACGCGAGGTCCATGACCAATTTACCCCCAGGCTATCTATTCTACATAGCATTTCTATATTTGTCATTTTCATCTTACATTTCTAGTCTGGAATCTAAATATCTACAATCAGAGTTAGAATCTGAGGCTGATGGCAAAATTGTGAAGTAAGTATTTTGAGTAATAAATTCCAAAATGTGGATGACTCAAAAATATTTACACTTTCAGAGACTTCAGTAACCACTAACATACACGCACCACCCACGTGGCTTCGTAATGAATATTAACTTCTTGTTTTAGAGCACCCTTCTGCCTTGAGACGCTGGGAGGCATAGCTTTTGGCTTTGAGAAAGGGGCCATGATTTGCTATATTTTGTCATATTATTTGGATATAAATATTCTTGCCTTGTGCCCTATTGGGGTGGATCTGGCTATTATCGGGACATAGTCGAGGCTCACAGCACCCAGACAGGCGCGAAAAAAACGGCCGTTATACGGTAGGCCTCTTTCGGCCGCCTCATGTATGTCAAGAAACGGTGATTTATCCGAACCATTATAAAGCGAAAAGTACATATTATCGTAAGCACTTCTAGCTCTTACATCCTTTATATAATTTTACCCGCTAGTTAAAATCAATATTCGAGCATTTTCAAGCAAATTATTCGTTATCCAGTGAACACAAGGCATCGATGTGGGTGACTTCTCGAATTTGTCGTCTTAAACCATGAAATTAGAATTTTTAGTCGTCTTTAAAACTTTCAGTAAAACAAAACAAGTGCAAATAGGCCTAAATACTTTAGTAAAAAGTGGGAATTTACCAAAATACGATGTCGCAATATTACGTAGCTACATTTTTTAATTTTATTAAATTTGAGGGTTGTAAATAATAGGCGTGAATGTCTGTAAATGTCGCTTATCAGACTTTATTTTGATAATCTACTATTCTTATTCAAAATTATCAAAGCTTCCGCAATTTTACCCGGCTGTTTTTTATGGCATTTTTGCTTAATATTTTGTAAATAAAAAAGTATATTATTATTTGCAAGTATTTTGCATTAATGTTTAGATTAACTAATAATACAGGACTGTTTATCACCTAAAAAGCATGTATTGACAAAAAAAAGGTAAATTATACAAATATGTAGACAAACGCAAAAAAATCATTCCTTTTGCAGAAAAGCATGCCCCTAAATGAGCTAAATTCATACACAGCCGAAGTGATATAGAAACATATCATTAATCTAGACAAATGTATAGCTGCAGTGTTAATAAAAGTGTACAAATTAATAAAATTAATATGATTTAGAATGAACGTACAGGCTACGTGTTAATATAGAACTGGACAGCAATGAGGGCAGAAATACAATCAGGAACAGCAGTTCGTTCCACAATAAATGTCCAATATATTTGTTTTAAGAGTCCCAAACAACGACGTTAGCATGTTAGTTTTAAAATACCTTTCTAAAAAATCAGACTGAATAAGGATTGTCCTGCATTCAATTCTGCTGGGAAATCAGACCAAAAGTAAACAACTGGAGGTGAATTAAGTTCAGCAACACCTTTTTGTGACAAAAACTGTTTTCATATTCACTGTTAACTGAAATAAACTTCTGTGTCCAAATTTAATTAGCTGTTTTTTAAACTGCCATGACAATTTCTGTCAATCAGGCTTTTTCGAGTAGCGTAGCCTTATTTCAGTGGGCTAATACACGGACATTTCTATTAAGTTAGGCATAAATTATAATGATTAAAATGAAGGTGAACATTAAATTACAGATTTACATATGCAAGCGCCCTTGTGGGATGACTCATATTTTTTAATCCAAGCCGACGGCATTTTTTTTTTACATATATTTCTAAAATTACTTTTAGTTGTCCTAAATTTGTAGTCATTAACATTTTAAAATAATCACATCCTGATAACTTGATAGAATTATTTCATGATTGATAAAAGGAACGTTTATACGATAGATAGGCTACGTCAGTTTAATTCGTGCCCTTTGCCGACATTTCAGGAAATTCCCGTTCGGAAATATGAAAATATAAGATAAAAAGCGTCACCTACAGATGCTTGCGTAATATCTGGAATGAGATGTAAAAAATGCTTCAACTAATCAACTTATTCATGTACAAAAAGTTGGTCTGATGGCATCAAACTATTCAATGTAAAATGCGACAACAATAACAAAGACAACTGGAAAGCGAAACATAAATGACAAGATACAGTAAACTTTGGGAACTTATTGCTGGGTATCACAAACAGTCGGTGGGTTTAGTGCCATATCGAGCATAAAATGCTCTCACAACCGTGGAACTAAACGGTAACAGGATTAAAACTGTGATTAACGGGATTGCAAAGAAACTACTTGCGCGAACATATTTGGGAACTGCTGTAATGTAGATCGAGCCTGAAACGGGAAGACCTGTCAGCGGGATTGCAGTAGCATTCTCCGGATTGTAAAGACAAGTGTTCACCTGTAAAATTAATATAGCACGAGTTTTATTATGCCTAAAACACATGTAGGGACCTATAATTGAACATTCCACAGAACAGAAAGGAAATATGATTTTGTAAACATATATAATATATTACCTACAAGCATTAGTGCCATTCTTATGTCTAATTCTTGTTCCCAATACTAATGATTGATCCAATGAAAACAAGCGTGATTTAATCAATTGGTATTATCTCTCGTTTTTCTGATGCATTTTTGCGCTCCTTTACCGCCACCCCCCCACCACCACCAAAAAAAACCCCCAAACACACCCACCCCCCTACCAAAAAAACCGCCGGCTTACCATATTACTGATTAGTGTGTTCCTTATAAGTAAGACGCAAATATACACATGGTTCAGAGAGAACGATCTTTTCATTAGCTGCGCTGGTTATATTTTAGCTGCTGTATGAGACGTTGGAGGTAGCCGGATTTCTGGGGTTGACATGCATTTCTCCCACCCTCTCGCGTACAAGCTCGAGGTTCTTTAAATGCAGCTATATCACTGAATTGCCCGGGTACAAATAATGAAAATAATTTCTTTAGTATAAAGATGAAAAGCCACGTAAATTCTACTGACAGCTCTGAACACATCACCTCTGTCTTTCGAACGAATCATTTTGACTATGATGTCGCAATCCATGCACAAGCATCAAGTTTCTCTATTATCCTCGTTACCTGTCTGGAAATAAAATTAAACATGACCCATCTTGAAATGACCGTACCACCGGTTCAGACTGTCACGGTCCCAGTCATGTTCTAATGCGTCAATCCTCTCTAAGATGGAGATAAAAACAAAACGTTACGTACAGTCGGAATGAAAAAACAGATAGAGCACCACTCGGAGTGTAGGAGGACCATACACAAGCAGACGGCTTCAAGTTTTTTAAGGTTTATTTTTTGCCCTTGCATCCTTTGGTATGATATGTTTTAATTAAAAATCTGCTTCAAGTAACCTCATCATGCCTTTTCTTATAAAAATAAATATTTTAAAATTGAATATTAAAATATGGCTTTTGTGATTATATGCATGAATGCCGTAGTTTCACAAAACATTAAACATCGGTTCAATATCTTAATTAGATGACGACAAGATAATTAGCCTTGTTTATGGAAAGGTATATTCAACGTATATGCTCATTTAATACAAATAAACAACATGAAATGTTCTATAGGAGTTAAAAAACGTTGAATAATGTATTAGTAGGCACATATTTTAATTATCATTTAGTTATTTAAATTATTGAATTCCACGAATTCCTATATTTCTATATGCATTGACAGCTAATTAAGAGCTTCTATTAAAGTTTGTATTTGATTTTTATCTTCACAGAGCAATACTGCATGCAACGATTTAATCTGCTTAAAAATATCAAAAAATGCGCAAAACCTCAATATAAAATGGTCCCTGCCGAATCGTAATGAAAGCTTACTGTCTATTTCTATATTTCAAGATAAAAAAAGAGTATGGTGCTGTGTGGAAGATTAAAGTCATAATTGGAGTTATAGAAACAATTACAGCTGTTACATTTTTAAAAATGAATGAATGTAAAGAAACACTACTCGAACAAAATAACACGAAGCTACAGTACTACTAGGCTTGACCACTGCAGGGCACGGTGGCGTTCTACTCGTCTCTGTTACAGTACATGATTAGTGAGAATGGCTCTTGGGACAGAAGTCTTCCAGAAGTAAAAACATTTTGAGATATATTATTACAAATAATGTATTATTTTTGAATTTTCATTCTCAGAAAACCGTCAACTAAAAATGACAGGATAAATTATTTCGTTAAAGAGAATAAATCATAAAAAGCTTACTAATTTTTCACATTGAATAAAGAATCTAAATAAGACTATATAGAAATGAAATGGTGTTTGATAGTACACACATACATTTTTAATCTGATAATAGTGGCCTATTGTCTTAGAAACTCATCAAATGTCATTATGCTCAAATATGATGTTACAGGCAAAACTATCAATCTATGAAAATAAATTCTTGGTTAATTCATACAACCGATCTTCCCGGATTTTTATCAGATTTTCTCAAAATTGGTAAAGTAGGCCTACCTATTTTTATATTACCTATGTTTATATTAGAAAATGCTTTTGATGTGTTGTAGCCTACGTAAATCCACTCAACTTAATATTTTTGTGATAACTTTACGCTCGTGAAGAACCAGCACAAAAATTATTTCAGTAACTAAATGCTTTCCAGGTCCTTTTAATCTGTTTCCGACATTTCATTGTGCGAATGGAGCACTCGTGTTGCAATCCTTTTTAATTCATAAGCGCCCTAAAACTCCAATACCCAGAACTACAGGAAAGGAAAGTAACGCTTGTACCGTTCACATTTTTTTCAATACAGCTCGCTTGAAACTCTGATTGGCGTTTGTACTGTATTTTACAGCCAATAGATGGAATCCTTATTGAATCGTTACTCCCATAGTTATTTGGCGTGTCAGCCAAACAATAGGCTCTCGTATTCAATTTCAGTTTACACTCAATATACATTTTCGAAATTGGTGATTGTAACAGTAATTTAAACTTGTCGGGGGGAATAAAGAAACAATCAGAAAGTGGGACATTCTCGATTTAATTTGAATTAAAACAAATACAGTGTTTGTATTGGTATAATCGGAATGTAGGCGAGCTCACGCACATTACTAATATAGGGGTATCTTGGACGCGACCGCATTTATAAATTTATTTTAATCTGTATTCTGACGGGAGCGCGCGTTTCGCGTCGTCATTTTAAATATTTAAGACAATGCTCTAGGTCGAAATGTATATATTGGGCGAGTTTGCTGTTTGATGGTGAATGCCCGCAGCGTACCTCCTCCCCCTACAGCTTCCACAGATAGAACAGCCTGTTGTGGGGCCTCCGCAGTAGGGAGTGTTTAGATCGCTTAGGAACCGAAAGTTACGTTCGCCTGTGAGGTGGTGTCCGTAAACTTTGGAAAACATAGTAAAAATTATCGAGTTTTTGAAGTTTAGTATTTCAGCGTTTGTAGCCAGTCCGATACGGAAAGGGGACTGCCGAAGGTAACTGGCTGGATCTCCGCGTCCCAAATCTTATGATGCCTACGTTGCGGGACAGCACCATGTCCCACCCCGGCGAAAATCCTCACCAAGTCCGGGTAAAAGCTTACTACAAGGGGTGAGTGGGAAGCCGTTTTCCTTCTAGATTGGTATTCATATAAAATCTGTTTGTGTAAACATTACTGTATGAGGAATGGGCTTTATCCCTACGTTATAATTTAGCTAGTTAACGGCTTCAAAGCACCGCGATGAATGGCTCCTGACTTAAGGTGAGCTGGTTAACAACCGAGCAAGATGAGCTGCAGGTGAAACTACCCCCTTCTGAAGATTAAGCTGGTTGACTCTAGTTAACAGTAACATATGGATCGACTGTGTTTGTTTTCATGTCGTGGATTTAATGTCTGCGGATAGTACGGGTTATCCGTCTGGTTCCATCATTTTCCGTCTCTCTGAAGATCAGCATCCAGATGAGCTTTTTCTGGACATAACGTGGTTTATTTTCCCATTTAGGTAACTAGCGCCATGGACCTATGTTAATATAAAACGCAAATTACATATGATATGTGGGTTGGTGTATTACCGGCTTTTAACTGATACCGGTGGTTGGTGGTGTCTGTCATCCTAGTATTGTAGTATTGTCGGTTTTTTCCCCTTTAACTGACCGTTGTTGTTCTAAAAGTGGTGAGATACAGTTAGTTAGGGTGGTATCACTGTTATCTCCTTTACGGTTTCATTGTTATGGGCCTAAGTATCTGATCCTGAATATGGAGCGCCGGGTTTGGATTTGGAAGAAAGAAACACGCCCTCAGACATGGAAGTAAACGCGGGACACCGGCACTGAGCTCTTAGTTTCACGTACTGTTTTATTAGTTTTATGGTATTATTAACTTGGAGACGCGTGTTTCCTTCCCGCCACAGTAACGCCCATATTATCTTCTTTAAAATGTCCATTGGCCTGGTTTCGTGTCGCAGCTCTGGGCGACTTGAAAAACGAGTCATGCAGGTACGGATGTTGACTCGTATGTCCCCGTGTTTCACCCCCCCGCCCCCTCATCCCAGGCAGAACATGTGAGCAATTTCTGAAATAACCTCTCAGGAATGCAAGCTATGTAGGAATGTCTCTTGGGGGGAAAATTATATCTCTACAGCCTAATTTTATGTCCCCGTTTTGTTTATAACAGAATAGTGTTTTAAGTGTCAACTCCGTAGTACTAGTACTTAGATTCATTTTTAACCAGCTGATATGAATCTTGATTTGTTAGGTGTGTGTTTTAGAAACGTCTGTGTAAGTTAGCCTGGAATATGTTTCCGAATGAGTTCTGTGCATGACAGGGTTTGCTTTCTTCCTTAACATTGTCCTTTGATGTCAGACATGAAGGTGAGCGGCTGTAACTCTGCCTGACTGGCAGGTCCGAGCTGGCCTGACGATGCGCTCCGTGGGGGATGTGCCCGTCAGGGGCCATGATACCCAGTGCAGCCTCCGCATTCTGCTGTCTGGCCGGCTTTCTTTGAGATGGATGGCTCCCGGCTTAAGTTTCTCATAAGGCTCTTAGTGGTTTTGTTTTACCCTCTCTCACCCATGGCTAACTATGTGAATGTTGGTGAAGACATGACACCCATTGTGTAGTGTGAGATGACCACAGCTTCCTCTATTATGGATGTGCCGCACTAGAGGATGTATTAATGCGTGATACCACTCTCCTTCTGACCCAAATACACATTGTTTTTTTTTTGGACAATACTGAGTTCAGTGCTTAGGAAGGATTTGGATCCACTCATGAATGTTCTGCGTGATCCCCGTACCAGTGCAGTCCCAGGTAGCATAATGGTTAATGATGTTGGTGGCCTAGTGGTTAGGGACGCGCACTTGTAATCGAAAGATTGCCGGTTCGAATCCCCGACTAGCAAAGATACTGATCCCCAGGTGCTGAATTAGCTGCCCCCTGTTATTTCACGATGTGACATATGGGTTAAATGCATAGACGCACTTCATTGTTGTGCAGTGTGTGGTGTGGTGTGTCAACAATGACAATTACTTTCCCATTTAATAATGTGAAGGTTGTTGGTTCAAGTCCCATAAGGCCTTGAGCTACAGTAAGATATTTAGCTTTCTGGCTAAGTAAATTGTAAAAATGGAGCATATTAATCTTTGTTGTTTGAGAGGTTCCACAGCTAATCCTCATGAGGGCTGAATTAGTGTTGGGCGGTGTACCGGTTCATACCGAAAACCGTTTTTTATTATTGTTATGATATAAATTTTTCTTATACCGCAATACCGGTTTAAATAGCCTGCACAACGTTCGGAAAGTGTCGCAGCTGGAAACTGTTTCACTGTTGCATCACTAAAAATGTACCACGAAAGATCAGAAACAGAAGATATGGCTGACATTGGAGTTGGAAATAATGAGACACTGGGGTTGTCAAAAAAATCGATTCTCAGATACTAATTGATATTAAAAATTAGTATCTGATTAGATACTGATTTTCGCCATTATTGATACCAAAAGTGCGGTTTTCGCTTCATTCGCCACACTTCACACAGCACTACTACAATGCTCGCACACACACACACTCACACTCGCATAGCCCCTCCCCTCCTCTCAATAGCCGCTGAACACATTTGCGCTGGTTAACACACACATACCGAGTTGACCGATCATGGCATATGCTGCAGTTGAAGGCACTTCAGAAGCTGCTTCAGTTAAAAAAAAAAAAACCCCAAAAGTGCCGTTTGGAAGTATTTTGCAGACGAGCATGGAAAGGCTAAGGATGTCTAAGCCTCTGTGCAAACAGTGCTACTAAGTTGTGGCGACGAAGTCAAGTAACACGTCAAACTTGGAGAAGCATCTTAATGACCGACATCCCGGTCTTTATGAGAAATTTTCTGAGGTCAATAAAGCTCTTGTTCCAGCAACACTGAACTATTAAACGCTTATCACAAATGTTAACTTGGCCGGCACACACCTTAACATTAGCCGTTTATCTATAAGCAGTTAGCCAACAAACACGCCACACTTCACACAGCACTACTACAATGCTCGCACACACACACACACACACTCACACTCGCACAGCCGTATGTTATCATTAAGGTAGCGGATAGGCGCAATGGCTAATAATAAAATAATATAGTTAATGTGGGAACAATGCAAAAACATAAAACAAAAACGTGTCCTGTAAAATGTGGTAAACGCCCAGTCATACTTAAAAAAAAAAAAAAAACGTCTTATATCGTGAAACCGATATAACTTTGAAAAATACCGTGATATAAATTTTTGGTCATACCGCCCAGATCTAGGCTGAATCAGAAGAATATGGAGGGAAGGCAAGAGCTTAAGCACTATGAAAGCTCATAGGCCTGATTCTGTGGGGGAAGGGATGGCAGTCTGTTTGTCATCATTGTGCCTTTAGTGCCTGGAGAACATGCAGAGAGACAGGGCTTCGTTTAGATAGATGTGCTGACAGGGTCAGACGCAAGGAAAGGCATCCATGCATTTCTATATCGGCTCACTTTTCTGAACACGTTAATAAAATATTACTAATCGCACCTGACCACATCTGTACATTTATTTGTCTTGCATTCAGACAGCCCTAGTCAGAGGGCAGTTTTTGTTCAGCTGAGTACTTAAGGTCGTGATTGAAGTAATTATTCACCTAATTGAACTCATTTAGACCTCTCTCTATGTGGAGGTTATTAGCGGTTTACGTTAGGGGAAAACCTGCTGTCTGAGATTATGGTGCATGGATGAATCTGTGTTGCACTAGGAATTGTGCATTTCTGCTGGCGCATTAATCCTCGCAGGCCTCACCAGACCCAGGTGGCACTGTGGTCTGCCGAATTGGCAGGGATGGGAGGGCTTTGAACACACACACACACACACACACACACACACACCTTTATCAGTTCTCCTCTCTCGCACAATCCTGCTTGTTTGCTCATAGGTAGGAAACCCCTCCCTTCCGTTACGTCCCGCTGCGGTTGGTTTCCGGTCCGCCAGCCTTAATCCTTCATGAGTGCCCTGCGGTAGCAGTGAACGTTTAGCTCCGTTTTACCCGTAGGGTCCAAAACTGGCAAAGGTGCCCAGACTGCCAAGGAGAGATGATGTCATACCTGTCAGTTGGCTGAAAACGACGTGCACGTCATTGGCATGTGCGGTCATCGCCGTGACATTTGTGGTGCGGCACGTGAACAATGTTAGGGCTCCACGCACGACCGCTGGCTTCACAGTGGCATTTTGTGCACCTTGTTCACCATGAATGGATTTAAAATGCAGATCAGCTAGATTTTCAGGATGGGGTTATTTAGCTTAAGGATACATACTTTTCTCACTTCGCATTTACCCTTGCAGTACTGTGAAGGGTAATTGTTGCGTGGCGTCCCTGGGTAACAAATTGCAGCCGTAGACCCTTCTTCCTGCTTGCGTTTTTCAAACACTGGTAGGAGGTGCCAGGGAGGGAATTTCATGCCCGTCAATGATTAATGAGAACTGAAGGTTTTCAGTTCTGAGCTCAGATGGGCACCGTCCCAGCCATGACCGTCTGAAGTTTCTGATTTGCCTGTTTTTTTTGCGACAATGAGAATGAGATTCCAAGCCTGTCTGACTGTCTTGATTATGTGGTCCTTTGATATTGTGGGAAGCTACTTAATGGGGCCAATGTTGGGGCCGGGGTGGAGGAAACCACCTATTATCGGCAATAAAGCATATGGAATCTACCTCAAGGTGTTGCTTTTGCTTTATGACCGTCTGTCTCCATTCTGCTGGCTCCCCAGCCTGGCAGATGTTTTCCTTCTTATTGGCGTTGTTGGCCTCGTGTGTAGCAGCCTGTGGGCACCTCAGTCTTCAGCAAACTGGTTGGCGCTCTGGTTATTTTTAAGGCTGATTTATGCTTCTGCATCGACTCAACGCCGAAAGGCGTAGCGGTGGCTCCTACACTGTAGCCAACACCATAGGCTGGCATCCACCTCACCAGAAATGTAAATGCATGTTGGGTTGCTAAGAGGTGGGAAATTTACAGAAACTTTCCATTCCATGGGAAGTTAAGATGGAGAATTTTGGAAATATTCCAAGTCGGATACTTTCCATGAGAATCAATGGGTATACAGATGCTCCTACTTACAAGCGAGTTACGTTCCGAACGGCTGTTCGAAACTTGAAATGTTCATAAGTTGTTATTCAACATCAGTTTAAGGGTATACACAAGTACAAAAACTAGGATGCTGGGAGAACGCACGCTGCACTCTTGTGCGGCGGGATTAGCGGCCAGTAGTCGTACTAGGCAGCATTGAAAGAAAAAAAGAAAGAAAAATTGATGTTGCGCACAGGAAACAGGAACCCGACGAACACAATTTGTACTTAGTCCGTTCGTATGTCTGAAAGTTCGTAAGTAGATGAACGTCTGTATATGGCAATTAATGGGAAAATTCCCAGAATTTACCAACCCTAACTACACCTTGTGGCGACATAGACCGCAAGGACTGTGATTGGTCTGTTTGGTAGCATTGGTTTGAGCTAAGAAAACTTACATCCCAGGGGCCTGTACTACAAAGCGGGGTAACTTGTCGGATTTAAGGTACCACAGTTTAAATGGACTACATATTCAGTCACTTGCATTCTGCCCAGACTACCTTAAATCCGACAAGTTACCCCGATAAGCCAGTAACCCCGCTTTGTAGTACAGCCCCCAGGTGTACTTATATTGCTGATTGAAACTGAAGCGCTATTTATATCTAGCATTAAATAACCCACCCATCGCATCATAGCAACAGGTCTACAAAACACTCAGGATGACAGCATCACATTCACTTACCTCCAATAAGTTTATTCATACTTTACAAGAGAAAAAAAAGTTTTTAAAAATTATATAGACACTAACTTTAGAGGGGAAAATGGATAAGAAGTGACTATCTACAGGAAATTTGGAGCAGCAAAAATTTAAGCAGGATTCCATTAATGGATACTTTGTTAAATGTGTTTTAATTGTGTGATTCAGCATTTGAATATATCACAGGGTGGGAAGGCAATTGCAGCATCCAGAACTCTGCATCACCTAACATTTTGCTGGCGTAATTACTGAATGCCACAGACACCTCAGTGCACCGGTATTAAGGCTCCCAATGGCGTAGGTCACAGGGTATAGATCAGCGTTTAGGGTCTTCTCTGGTCTGCTGCTGCCTTTGGTGGTTGTCCTGGTCCAGTCTGAACAACAGTATTTTGGAACAATATTTCTCAACCCAATGCTTGGACCCTGAGTTTTGTTCCCTCCTAACTAATCAGGAACACCAAATACCTGGTAAGAGGGAGCTGGGAAACGGCAAACGTGGAATGTCCGGGATGTCCTGAGGACAGGGTTGAGGGACACTGTTTTGGAAGACCACCGTGTCGTCATACAGGATTACACAAGGTTTTATTATCCGAATACTTTACTTCAGATGTTTGGTTTGTTGTGCTTCGCTGAAAAGGACAATTTGTTCTGGTCAAGTTTCACGTCAGCGGTTTAAGCGGCTCTGAGGCTGCGGCTGCGGGAATGAGGCCGAGTCGAAGTCCTAACCAAAGCAGACAAGCTATCGATCGGCAGGTTGTGTCAGCGATAGCAGTGTTTACCGTGTGGGGAAGTGTCCCCGGCGGACCTGGCGTGCCAGTGGTGCCGGGGAAATCACTGAGCTCTGTTTACAGGCCTTCGAGACTCTTTGCCAGACCTGAGTGAGGAAGTTCAAACCATTAGGGGGAAAAAAAGATCAGAGCTAAATGCCGCCCAGCTCACATGACCTACCAATCTCATGGCACCTCCCTCTCAGTTTTAGACTGGTATTTTTTTCTAACCAATTCATGTTACTAGACACTTTACTGGACTCTAGCCTGGTTCCTTGGCCACAATGCCGTCTGCTGCTCTGGTGATTGGCCAGTCTGTCCCTTTTTGGCATTTCGTCTGGTTTAACTCCTCCCATTTCCCCTTCCTCTCTCCAGGGACATCATGATCACCTACTTTGAGCCCACCATCTCCTACGACATGCTGTACAGCGAAGTACGAGAAATGTGCTGCATGGACAACGACCAGCTCTTCACCATGAAGTGGATCGACGAGGAAGGTGTGTTTGAATCCAACAAGACCTTCCATGCTGTGTCTCATGCACCATTGCAGGAAGTCACAGTCAGATTATTATAATTAAGTTGTGCTGAAGTGGTGATTCAGACCCATCAGTCTGCTGAACGTCAGTAGCATTCCTTAGTATTAAGCCCTCAATGAAAATGAAGATCTCCCAGGGCCATCCAGCCTGTTATCTTGTTCTGGTGTCAGTCTCCTCTTCCCAGCATCTGCTGCTAGCTCCTAAATCCCTGGCTGCTTCTCCTGATGAATTGCTCAGAAGTGTCCCTTTTTATTCCACTTGACACAGTGGAAAGGAATGCTATCTGCATTTTAGCTCTGGGTCACAAGAGCGGGTGGCGAAGCACTCGGCAAGCTGGACTGGTGACCTGAAGGTCGCCCCCTGCTGGTTTACTCCAGAGAGCAAAGGGGTAACGTTATTAAGCGGGTCAGCTGAAAGAAGGACGGTATATGCCTGAGTTTTTGTTAAATTGCCCCTGTATTGAGAGTCCTGTGTCGGCGAGAAGCGTTATGGGATGGTGCCGTCTGCGGCTAAGCTGGGCTGTTTTTTATTATCTTTTTCCAGGCGATCCCTGTACCGTGTCTTCGCAGCTGGAGCTGGAGGAGGCGCTGCGACTGTACGAACTCAACAAGGACTCGGAACTCATCATCCACGGTCAGCATGTGGCGTCCGCGCCTGGGTGCCGCGTGGGAGTCAGGGGGGAGGGGGGGTGTCGAAGGTCGCGGGTGGCTCTGTGACGCCCCGGTCGCTAATTAGCGCTGGAAGTAGCAAAGTCAGCGGGGTGCGTGTGGGGGCGTTCGTATGTGTAGCGGAGCAGTCGTCACGCATGTTACGGTCTCTGGTTAGCGTGTCTGAGTTCTGGCTGTTTCTGCGTGTGTGTGTTATGCACATTGCCTAAATAAGGAGTGTGTTCCCTCCAGCGCTAAGTGGAGCAGGGGCAGGTGTTGTGCACCTTGAAAGCCAGCCGGCATTTTCGCCAGTGACGGCGTAAATGGATGTGTGAGCTGCATTCTGGTCCCTTTCAGGATTTCTGGAAATGGAGCTCTGGCCCTTTAAATATGCCTTCCGTCCCCCGATGCTTTTCTCGCCTCTAACTGTGTTCTGCTAAGCATTTAGTCTGTGGAAAAATTCTGCCATTTTGTGGGACTTCCACGTGTCGACCTCTGGATGCCAGGCTACCCCAAACAATATGATTGGCTGCAAATACTTCAGTTACAGTTAATACGTTTGCATCCTGGTATTTCATTATTGTTGACCTTTTTGTTCGTTGGCATGTGACTTGGGACACGTGTCGTCTTGTTTTTGCTGTCCTCCCTCATTGATACTTGTGGGGGGGTCCATGCCCTGCCCCGCCCCATCCCTCCCTTGTTCAGTTTTGTAATTTAATTGGCCATTGAAGGGACTGGGCGTGGCTTTCTTCCTGGCAGCACTGCCTGGGAGGCTGATTAGACTGCGGAAAAGGTCCCTTGGCATTTCACAGATGGAATTGCATCTGTGCTTTCAAGCTAATAAACGGGGTCGTAAGGGAGAACAGGAGAAGGTCACGGGGTCTGCGGGAACTGGGGTCTTAACGGGGCTGGGTGCCTCACCTGGACCCGTCACGCCCCGCAGACACGCTGCTGGGGAGGGAAATGGCCAAGGAGGGAGCTTCACAGGCCGTGCTAGGTGGTGCTTTGTGTTAGAGACGGTGCTTAAAGGACGGGGTAGTGACAGCCGTCTCTGTCCGCAGTGTTCCCCTGTGTTCCTGAGAAGCCTGGCATGCCCTGTCCGGGGGAGGACAGTGAGTATGGGCCCCTCTCGGCTCTCTTCATTCTGCGTCGCTCTCTCTCTCTCTCTCACACTGCCTGACTTCTTCCTTTGGAGTCTCCTTGGCTCAGCATTCCCTCATTCCTCCAGTATGCCTCTCTCCATACCCCGAGCCCCCCTGTTCCTCTCCCCCGCTTCTGATTCTTTCTCACCTCTCTCTCTCTCTCTCTCTGTCTCTCTGCTCACCCCACTCCTTCCTTCCGGAGTCTTCTTGTCTCTTAGCCCTTTTTTCATCTTCCCCTTATTCTGTCACTATCCCCCTCTCTCTGCCACCCTCCCCCTTCTGCTTTTTCTGCCTCCTCCTTTCCTTCCTCCCTCCAGCCCTCCTCCTCTTTCCTTTATTCTGTCACTATCCCTCCCTCTGCCACACTCCTCCCCCTCTCCTCCTGTCCCCCCCCCCCCCCCATCTTTTCCTCATGATCAGTCTCTGATCAGTTTCCTTGTGCATGTTTACTTCAGTGTATTTGGTGCATCAGGATGTATTTAAATGTTTATTTTTAATAATCTCGTCGGACACTCAGGGATTCTCTGTCTCGGCTCCGGAAAGACAATGACCTTTGACCCTCCCCTCACAGAGTCCATCTACAGGCGGGGCGCGCGACGCTGGAGGAAGCTGTACTACGCCTACGGGCACGCCTTCCAGGCCAAGAGATTCAACAGGGTGACTGGCATCTCTTCTGTGCCACCTTAGTGCGATTCCCTGTGCTGTGTCATGTCATCATCCTTTGACCAATGATAAGTGGGTTTAAAAAAAAATCCTCAGTGGTGACTGGCTGGTTGTTTCCACCAAAAAGCAGGATTCTTTAACGCCAAAAACAGGACTAAACGAGACTGGCGTGACATGCACAGCCTCATATGCATTCGCCCAGGGTTAAGATGGGTATTTTAAGGTGAGGGAGGGGGGGCACTTTTAGTGTGATATGACCATCAGTTTGTGTGAGCCCAGTGCGGCTGACCACTTCCTCTGCTCCCACCCCCGCAGCGGGCACACTGTGCCATCTGCACAGACCGCATCTGGGGTCTCGGCCGACAGGGTTACAAATGCATCAACTGCAAGCTTCTCGTCCACAAGAAGTGCCACAAGTTGGTGACAGTGGAGTGCGGCAGGCATCCGGTACGGGTGAGCCCTGCCGCTCTGAGACGCCTCGCGGGTTAGCGGCCTGTCTGTCCCGTTTCTCACGACGGCTCTCTGTCCCCAGGATCACATTATCAGATCGATGGGTCAGGTCCCGACTCCAGCTGATCCCATGGAGCCAGGTGTGTCTGCGGGAAACTTGCGTTTATATATGTGGACTAATCGCCCCGGTGATGATGACGAAGGACAAAACACTAGCAGGCAGAACATTGTTAATAATAGAATACCTCTTTCAGATGTAACCGCACCAGACTTTTATAGGAAACCTCATCGTTGTGATGTCACCCCCGGCCCCAGTATGGCAGATGGTGTTTTACTCTGTTTTCAATTTTATTATTTTTTTTTAGTGATCCCATACAAACTGTCAAGCGAGAGTCTTAACGACGACGGGGAAGAGAAAGAGGTAATAAATTAAACACCCCCCCCCCCCCCATCCCGTCCAGAAGGGTAGCTTTGATGACGGCACTCGTCAGTCTGACAGCGTCGTTCTTGCCAGACCGTGAGTGCGAATTGTCTGTCGTCACAGTGCGACACCTGTCTCGCCTGCCCGCTCGCGGCTCGGGAGGGGAGAGCTTGGTGAGGAAGGGTAGAGGACTGGAACAGCAAATCTTCTCTGATGGGGGAGGGGGGGGACAAGCTCCACAGTCTGGCATTTAGTGGGAAAAGAGGTGCCTTCATGCTAGACATGCTGCTATTTGTTTCTGATAGACTAAGTGAAAGCTAAGGGTTTGGATGATCAGGACATGAGTCTAATTATGTCTGTGATGGGCAAGCTGATAAATAGGCCTTTGGTGGCCTGAGTTTTTCTGTGACCTCCATTAGAGGTGACCGACTTACAGAAGCTGTCTCCCTGACCAGGCCATGAGCAGCAGGGAGACCGGCAAAGGGGTGTCCAGCCTGGGTCTGGCGGACTTCGACCTGCTGCGGGTCATCGGGCGTGGGAGCTACGCCAAGGTGCTGCTGGTTCGGCTCCGGAGGACAGACCGCATCTACGCTATGAAGGTGGTGAAGAAGGAGCTGGTCAACGACGACGAGGTAGGCGCCGTATCCCGGGACTGGCTTATCAGGCCAGCCGATGGGAATGTGTGTGACATACGGTTTGTTTGGTGACGCCTCCCTGGTCTGCGGCAGGACATAGACTGGGTGCAGACAGAGAAGCACGTCTTCGAGCAGGCCTCAAACCACCCCTTCCTGGTGGGGTTGCACTCCTGTTTCCAGACGGAGAGCAGGTGAGCCCCCCCACCCCAGTCGAGTTCTGAACGGTGACCAGTGTCCTGGTCCTTTGCCGAGGTTCTGCTGGGCAAATGTAACAGCTGTTGGTGGTTGGTTTCCCGTCGTTACTGGTGTGAAATTTTTGACCCAAACCTACTTTGATAATGCTCTGGCAGGCCTGTAATGTAATTGCCACGCCTGATTACTTCGGTCAGTTATGCAGAACATTTTTTTTTCTCTAATCAGTCAAGTGTTTTCTGGCTCCTTTTTCCGGAAGCAAATTCACATGAAGGCAGCCTTTGGCAGGGCTCATCGATTTAGACGATACGTTTAGAGCTTTGCCTGAAGTGTTTTCACAAGCTTTGTGCTGAACTTTGACCTTAGTCACATGACTTGTGCTTTGGTAGCAGCTACCTTATGCTCCTTCATACGATGCCTTTCTACCAACTCAAGAATTCCGTTTTCTTTTCTACAATATCCTTTATAATTTGCATACTACCCAATGGGTGTGTTTTTGAACTTAAAATGGAAAGGCTATGCCTGTTTACTGGGTTATTGGGAATTATTTTTATTTTATATTTATATTTTATTTTTCAGTTTTTCAACTCGTGTTGTTTGACTTTCTCTTCTTTCATTAACCACTATAGACCCTCATATCTTAGTCGACAGGGTGTATTGTAATTCCTCCCTCCACTTCCCTCCAGACTTTTCTTTGTCATCGAATACGTGAATGGGGGAGACCTGATGTTTCACATGCAGCGACAGCGGAAGCTTCCAGAAGAGCACGCCAGGTGAGACTTGAGGTCCTGAGAATTGAAGGGGCACTAAGACCTTGCACTAAGACCTTGCACTAAGACCTTGCACTAAGACCTTGCACTAAGACCTTGCACTAAGACCTTGCACTAAGNGCACTAAGACCTTGCACTAAGACCTTGCACTAAGACCTTGCACTAAGACCTTGCACTAAGACCTTGCACTAAGACCTTGCACTAAGCCAAGCTGCATCAAATCTGCCATAAACTTGTGTTGTGAAAGCGTCCAAATGCCCTGAGCATTTAATCGCATTATGCCAATGAATAAATATTTCTTTACCGCTAGGTGACAATTTCCAAAAAATAGTTATTGACCCGAGTGAACACTGGGTGAGATGGGTGTTTGTTATGCTTGATCTTTCAGGTTTTACTCGGCAGAAATCAGCCTGGCCTTAAACTACCTTCATGAGCATGGAATCATCTACAGGGACTTGAAACTGGATAACGTCCTGTTGGAGTCAGAAGGACACATCAAGCTCACGGATTACGGCATGTGCAAGGTCTGTGTGTGTCTCTGCCGCGCTTTGGCTGCCTAACTAGCCTCTGGGTGCCATTTCGAACAGCTTTAGAGGGGAAAGAGACGTCAAACGGGAAATATCAGGAACACAGGCGCAGTTCCCAGGCGGGAAGGCGATACGAGCAGCTCTGGATCCACAGAAGGGCCAGCTGCCAGACCAGAGTACATTTTGCCTGAGTGCCGATATCATCCTGGCAGGCGTGGTGAAAAGGCTTCTGGGTAATCCCGGCAGCCCGCCAGGGGAGGGGGTCTGTGTGCTGATAGGGACTTTGTGTTGCAGGAAGGCTTGCGGCCGGGAGACACAACCAGCACCTTTTGTGGAACACCCAACTACATTGCCCCCGAGATCCTGCGGGGAGAGGAATACGGTAGGGTATACATGCGTGTTTACATTCCTGCACATACTAACACGCAAACACGCGGGTATTGACTTTGGCTTCCCCCCCCCCCAGGTTTTAGTGTGGACTGGTGGGCGCTGGGGGTGCTCATGTTCGAGATGATGGCCGGCCGCTCGCCGTTTGACATTGTGGGCAGCTCGGACAACCCCGACCAGAACACCGAGGACTACCTCTTCCAAGGTGCACATCCACAGATCCGCATCGGACACGTTCAGGAGGAGCCCAGACCTTGCTATGACATTAAATCTATATGTAAAGGTGTACGAAGCAATTCAGTCAATTGAAGCTGCAGAAGATAGTGAGGAATTTGTGACTGAAACAAAGGCCAAATGTATGAGTCTGGGTCCCTTGTTGAAGAATGAAACGGTTTTTGTAGAACTGTGGTTCTGGGCAGATCTGTTCCACCGCAGGGCAGTGTGCCTCATTATGTCTTCCAGCCCCTCAGATCAGGATGTGTTACATGATCTAGTTTAGGGAAACATGGATGTAGTGCAGGGTTTGATATCCGCTGGGTGCAGCTGCTGCCGTTCCCCTACATCCCATGTGGGCTCCTACCAAAGTCTTGGAATTCACAAGCCGCGACTCATAGCTCAATGCTTTCTTTGAACTCCCTCAGTAATCTTGGAGAAACAGATCAGAATCCCCAGGTCCTTGTCAGTCAAGGCAGCCAGCGTGCTGAAAGGATTCCTCAACAAGGTACGGACTAGTCAATCCGATTCCATCCGAGTTGGGGAGTGACGTAGGATAACTGATACTCTTGTCGACGCCCCCTTGCAGGAACCCAAGGAACGCCTTGGTTGTCATCCCCAGACTGGCTTTGCTGACATTCAAGGGCATCCCTTCTTCCGCAATGTGGACTGGGAGCTGGTGAGTCACGTCTCTCACATCTTCACCAGCGGATTAAGATAGCAGATATTAGGATTTGCTGTGGGTTATTCTACAAAGCTCATTCAGGCCCCTTTTTGGAAATGCGAACCTGGTATGGAGTTTAAAGGGACCTCGTCCTAATTTGTTCTTAGGTCGTTGACCCACTTGCTTAAAAATGTTTAGCAGCTGTATAAAATGTGAAAACTGTGGAAGACTGTTTGGATAAAGTGTGTCCTTAAGCAAACTCCATCCATCTTCTGTAGCAGCTTATCCTATTCAGTGTTAAGGGGGATCCAGAGCCTATCCTGAGTTCTATGAACGCAAGGCGGGGAACAACCCAGGATGGGGCACCAACCCATCACAGGGCACACTCACAATCCAGTCACTCACACATGTCCCGCTGTGCCGCCCCTCCTTAAGCAAACTGTAAAGGCTAATCAGACAGTCCTGCCCAGCAACAAAGAATTTGTTGGCATCTCTGTGACGCAAGCGACTAGACAGTCTAGTGTGACCGCTGTCTGTTTGGCCTGGAGGGCAGTGGAAAAGTGCTTATCAGCGTGTGTCTGTCTGTGGTATCAGGTTTAACAGCCACAACCCCCACCCCCCACTAACCATGTCACTGGCTGCATTACTGCTGAATGCCTGCAGGGGGAGCGTCTAGGAAACGTGGCCCTGCATCTGGGCCAGCGGGCACCGTGCTGCAGATATGGATATAACTTAAAAGCTGCTGGTGTAATTCCCGGGAGGCCCAGCTGAGGCACCCTTGAGAAAAATACTTAACCTGAATTGCTCCAGTAAAAATATCCAGCTAAAAAGCCTGACACTACTACTTTTGGTATTTACATTAAATTTACATGGGTCACAGCTAGGAAGGCCCACACACTGCCTGGTCACTGCATGGTCTGACAGCTTCCTCATTCTCTTCCTCTCTCTCTAACCGCTACACAGATGGAGCATAAGCAGGTAGTCCCCCCTTTCAAGCCCAACATCTCCGGCGAGTTTGGCCTGGACAACTTCGACGCCCAGTTCACCAACGAGCCGATCCAGCTCACACCTGACGACGAGTGAGTTGGCCGCACTCCTGTGGACACTAGCTAGCCGCCTGGTGACAATAAGGCCGGACAGTCGGCTGGTTCTGTCCAACTGTGGTGTACATTCCACGTTCTTGTGCAGTGTTTCCCAGGCCGGTCCTCAGGGTCCCACACACGGTCCACGTTTTTGCTCCCTCCCATACAGCTGGAAGGGAGCAAAAACATGGACCTTCTACGGGTCCCCAAGGACCGAGTTGGGAAGCACTGCTCTAGTGAGTTTGAGTGCTGGAACATTTCTGGTTTCACGCAGTCAACTTATAATACATTGGTTTGTTCTGCAGCGACGTGGTCCGGAAGATCGACCAGTCCGAATTCGAGGGTTTCGAGTACATTAACCCGCTGCTGATGTCCGCTGAGGAGTGTGTGTGACGATGCAGCTGGTCCCCACTGCCCTGGAGCCTCCGTCCTACCCGCCCTGCCTGCCACATCTCGCTGGCGTGTTTATCCTCCTCTGCTAATCGCCAAACTTCTCAATCCCTGCCATTTGTAACCACTATCTCTAAAGTGTCACCTTTTTATTTTTATTATTGACTTTTGTATCCCATGAACTCGCACTGGTCGTCTGGCCTTTAACGGCACCGTAACGCTGATGATGCTGACATTGCCAGATAATGGAGACCAATGATTTGAGGTCATTTCCAGGTTACCTTGCCTAGGGAGGAAAACATGTGCGGTGTATAGGAAGCATGTTTGCAATTCCCAGCTGACGAGGGGGCTTGTGTATTTTATGTGAACATGTCAGTTCAAGGTCTTCTTGAACTGTGTAAGCCTGAATATATGCAAACGGTTCAAGGCATACACTCTTAGGAGGACCCCCCCCCCAAGTAACTTAAGTCCAGGAGTAAAGGAGGGAGGGAAACACTAAGTTAAAAGAAAAAAAACGCTAAACTTTTTCCATGTTTTATTTAATTAAAAGTCTATATGCAATGTGCACAAGTGTTATGCTTGCCCTGGTTTGTTATAAGGACTAGAGCTGTCCACTCTGTGTGTGTGTGTGTGTGTGTGTGTGTGTGTGTGTGTGTGTGTGTGTGTGTGTGTGCCTGCATGCATGCATAGCGCAGCGCAGATTATTATTTTTTTTTAAACTATGTGAGTGTAAATTTTGAGCTCGCCTCAACAATGAAAAGTTGAAATCGCATAGCGGGCAGTCTACAATGGAGGGATCGCTCCTTTTGAAACTGTGAACAAAAAGACATTTACTCTACCACCCTGTCTGGAATCTGAGCATAGTGGCGTCGCGGCTGGCTGTCCACGCCATCTTCGGTCACGCAGGACCAAACGCTCGGTTTCGGAGAGCGGGGAGAGCAAGTGCCCTCTGTGGCCCCACTGGCTGATCATCACGTGTGGCTCAAGGTGAGATTTGTGTAGTTGTTGCGGAAGAACGAGGAATGCCTTCATTTCCCATGATGTCTCATTTTGCCTTTCGTTTGCTGTTTTTTTTTTTTCATTTTTAAAAACTCTTCTTCATGTTTTATTTTCTGATTACTGGAAGTTCAGTATTTTTTTTTTCCTTTTTATTTCTGCGTGTTTTTCATTATTGACAAATATTTTGGACGTAAATATTTTTGTGTACCTGTATATACATGTAGATGTCTCCTCAGATCAGTAAATATGAACATATGGTGTAAACCACAGTTATTTAGGAGTGATGGAAGTTTTAAATGACCGCTGTAGAATTAAATTTCTCATTTTAAATTACCATTTTGGAGAAGCATGAATTATAGATCTTGACAAATTTGGTTTTCTGTTCGCTCATCTTCCAAAACTGGGAAATTTGGTAACAGGCAGGATGGCAACTAAAACAAACACTAGCCATGTCTTTTGGGTTTTGAACATTTTCTCCTTCACATGTGAAATGTTTTATAAAATCCATTGTTTTATAATTTTGTTTATGGGGTAACCTGCTTATGTAAAAAAAAAAAAAGAAAGAAAAAAAAAACTAAAAATAAATAAGGACCGGATAGGATTGTGCGAGTGTCAGTGCGGGTAAATTACTTCTGATTATTTGCCAAAATGTACTGCAGAGTTGATTCTGTTTTTATTCTTGCAGTTTTTCCAAGGAGAAATTGATGTCTCTGCACAGCCCATTGTGCCGCACACGCAAATTAAAGCACAATTCTTTGCACGTCGTTGGAAATTGCTGTAACTCTAGCCATTGGATAGATGTGCCCTGTGCTTCCTTCCAGGAAAGTTGCTCTAAATCAGTAGTGAACCCAGTTCTGGGGGCTGGAATTGCCTTTAAATGGGTAATTGATTTAGTCCCCGAACACCATGTGAAGTGACATCCTCTCTTTAGGCGTGCTGCTTGTAGGCCAGCGGCTACTGTGATTCTTGCTGAGCGTTAGTATTTGATCTGTTTTGCCAGTGAATACTCTGATTAACCAACTACCTTTCAAGCCCATACTTAGGTGAACATTGTGTGCTATTGATTGGCTGTGGGCTATGCAAGGAGGAACAACTGCCTTTTTGCACAATTTATTTTTAATCAATCATTGCTTGGGAGCTGTAACACTAGCAGTGGTGACTTGCCACTGAATTACCTTAATAAAGCAATTGGGAGATGACGGCGAGTCATTTGCAGATGGCCCCTTATTTCCAAATACATGGACCTATGTCACTCTGACACTGTGGTGTTTTTGCGATGTGGGATTTGATGGCCTTACCTAATAGGTGGAATCCACCGAAAGTGAAAAGTCATTTCCTTACTTTTTTTGTTCAGCTTCAGTATTTTGGATGTTTACTGGGAAGGATTTTCTCTTAGCGTGAGCTGAACTTAAATCTTTTCAAACTAATCAGGCAGAGCCAGTGCCAGTTTTAGCAATGCAAGCTCTCAGTTGATCTTAAGGTATGCAACATGTTGAACTAATACTGGTCTTGCATCGAGGAACGGCACAGAACAAATGGTTCAGCTTGCAAGGGTTGAATCGAGTCAGGCAAGGTAGTAAGTGTCAGATGAGTACAAGAGAAACTAACGCCAATAACATAACGCACAAAGCAAGTAATTTGCGACGAGCCCACAGGGTATTCGAGTGGGACGTTCATTTTGTGGTGAAGCGGATAATCCGTCTATAAATTTCAATAATGAACTTAAATTTCGTATTTATTGCAAACATTGCTTATATTTTAAGACTGTGAATTAATTACAGCTTCGCTTATTCTAGCGAAGGAATCAGTAGCTGAAGATGCATGTAGACTCCTGTGACCGCCTCGTTTACATTTATTAAATTGCTTTTACAAATGCTCCGCTTTGATATATATATTTTATTGTAATTGATACGCATAATAGGGATGTAAAATCTTCCACTTGTCTCTCAATTATTTTTTATCTTTGTAAACAACAGTATGAATAGGCCTGCAACCTTGACTTCTATATAGTTGTAAACTTTATGTTTTTTTTAATGAAATTGAAACCAGACAAACCTGAAATGCAACGCTATTACACAGTGTTGATTTGATGAAAGGCAGATATACATGGGCGGAGATGTATTGGGGATTACTGCGCACCGTCTGTTTTATTTGTTCATGGCTTCATTGCAAGAAAAAGATCTTGCTCTCCCGTGGGGAGAGAAATACGACGTGAACATAATTCTTTGTTTCCGACGTGCTGGGATTTACAGACGGCAGAACGCGAGAAACAGGAGCCGTAGAACACGAGTGGCGAATGCTTGAGTATAACTATATTGTTCTGGAGCCGTTCCTAGTGATTTAAATTAGGATAAACACAAATGCACACTTAGATTATAAGGGATTTATGTCTCCGGAGCGCCGTCCTCTCGGGGGTGCATTAGTGCAGACTCCGGGAGCCTCTCAAAGTGACAGGCTGGGGATCTGCATAAGGTGTCCCAGCGGCATTTAGTTGGATGCCTGATCGGCCGTCTGCCACTATTTCCCTTGTTCTGCATAAAAATGATTTTGCATCAACGATTTTATAGAGTACTTTCAACGAACGACTGACAGCAATAATAACAAACGGATTAATTAACCCCAGGGAACAGCAAGAGTGATTTACTGCAAAAATCGATGGGTTCCGCTCATAGCTGCCAGAGTAGGTGCGCGTTGCTTTCATAACACATCTCTGATGCCTTTGCCATCAACATAAAGTGGACAGCAGCAAACCAACAAATTATGATTGCACTACTTATTTCATGTGAAATATTATTTAAGAGAATTTCAGAATGCCCCGAATAAAGGCGAAACACGAAAACCTAGTGATACAGGGGGGAAAAGTAAATGTGAATATTCTTGGTCAGGGTGTGTAACACAAACGTACGTTATTTTTTTATCACCTTTCTCACCAAAACGTTTTGAATTGTTGAACACCTTTGTTTTAACTTTTAGCTCCTGCAACACTGCAGGATTTTCAGGTTTTGCAAGAGTTAAGACTGGAGTTTTTATTATGCTAATTAGCGGACTTCTGGGCGATACAAAATGTTAAATGCACAGCTTACATGTACTACCCAGCCCTCGCAGCATCAGTGTGCATCATCAACGGCTCTGGCTCTCATCAGTCGGCGTACGTGATTAGGTGTATTACCCGCAGCGTTAAGCCGAAATACCTGTCAACACAAACTGTTCTAAGTGGGATCGATTCACCTTAAGAACTCTGAGCACGAGGAAATATACTGTCAGATGATGGGTGCCATTGTACTGGTAAGCTTTGACACGCCATGCAATAAATTATGCTATATAAGATATAACCCTAAATAGCACATAGCAGTCCACGAACGCTGGTTCTAAATATTTAACTGGGACCCGAGCCAACACGATAAATAAAAATAAGGGTGGAAATGGCTATTTACCTCGTTAAAAAGCCCCATACGTATCCACGGCACAATTTAATTTCCTACACATTATTTACTGTCTTACATTCAAATAAGCGCCGTCAGAACATTTATTTTCCATTTGGAGCGCTTCTTCTGAGGGAAACGTGTGGGCTTCAATAACGAACGCACAGCCTAGATCTGAGAACAGCATTTTTTTGTTACAGGAAACCAAACCACTATTTGGGTAGACTAAAAAAAATATCCCCAAAATGCTGTCCCTGATCATCCTTAGAACTTAATGTCGCATTTATGTGGGGGTGGTTTTGTCATGCAAGCTAAAGACCGACGTTAGGGAATAAGAAATAATGCGGGAATGGAAAATGTATTTTGTCCATAGCTGAAAATAATGGGTGTTCCTTTAAAATGGCCTCTGTTTCCAGTGCAAGCCACTACGGGTTACTATAGTCAACTAGCGGTTATACTCAGGCAAGCCCGACTGCTACACGATCGCGCCGGAAACGGGGGCCACAGGCGCCCCGGTGACAGCGCTCCGGCGGCCATCGCTGCCCGCCACCCCCCTCGCCTCCCCCATCCCCGCCGCAGAGGTTCGCAGGCCCAGACTGCGAGACGGACGGACACCCCCGCAGTTTCCGTGACATGCCCGATCCGAGTGCGGCTGACGTAGCCAATCAGGCTGGGGCGTGACGTCGCGAGACGGCGGCGGTGTCTCTGGCTGCGTTTTGTTGACTGTCGGGCAGAGAGCGAAGGGGACGTGCGGGGAGCGGAATGGGAGCAGTGTCCGAGAAGGCAAGTCTGTCCTTTTTTGATATTAAAATGGTTGAAACGCATTATGGAATATTGGTTTTACAGTTATGGCCGATAATCTGCCGTCGATTACTGAAGTGTTTTTTCCCCCCTTTTCTTTTACATTTTTAATATCGGGCGACGGGGCTTCTTGGCAGCACGTTTACCTTGGTACCAGCCGCGGTGCCGGTCGCTCGCCAGTTAGCCAGCTGGCTACTGTTAGCTAGCGTGTTTAAAGGGCGCTCCGGGCGCCGCGGCGGTGAGCTGTGTCTAGCCGCACGGCTCGCAGGCTTTCCGATAATAAAAAAAACGGGTGAGCCTGGCGTAGGGGAACACCGGCGGGGCTCCCTGACGTCTGCTCGGCTGAGCGACAGGCGGGCGGGAGGTCCCCGTGTAGGTCTGGCTTAGCCTAGCCGGGGCGCTTCGCCTCAGCGGAGAACGTGCGACGGCAGAGCCTCGGCCGAGGGGGCGCCGGGGGACGGGGAGGCGTGCGCGATGCCCTTGGTTTCTCTGAGTACGGGGTGGGGAGGTGGCGTGGGGCGGTTGACACGGGCGAAATGGACAGACGCGGCTAAAACTGGCGTGAAAATCGGTGTCGCCCGACCAACGCGGCACAGGGCGACATAAAAAAAGAAAGCGAAAAAGAGCACGCAGCCCGAAAAAGAAACGCCTCTCTGCGTCGGCCCTCTGCTGGGGGACCGTGTCCGCGTCGAGCCGGGGAGCCCCCATGATACCGCGCCGGCGCCTTATTCCAGCACCCGTTAAGGTGAATTCAGCACTCATAAGGGTGGCGTTTGGCTCGCCTACTAGGCGAACCGTATTTTATTTTTTAACCTTGAATTGCGGTCTATTCAGAAAATGAGGAGGAGGAGGAGGAGGGGGGGTAATCTGGCGACAGACCGAGGGAGGTCGATGCCGGTAGATGGTCCCAGCCGAACCGTGCCGCAGCTCACATTGTGAAAGCTCCCTGACCACATGAACTGTGTGTGACCTTGTTCATTACCCCACTTCCCCCAACCGCTTCTTTTTTTGTTTGCGATCGGCGTTTATTTCGTGTCATTTTGACCCACGGATTCTCATAGAGACTGGAGATGTGTGTGTGTGTGTGTGTGTGTGTGTGTGTGTATATATATATATATATATAATCTCCATATATATAGTATGTATATATAATATAGTGTGTGTGTATGATATATCTGTAGTACATGAACTATATTGTGCCGTCTTCGTTTCTGGTGTCGTGCAAATGACAGTACGTTATCAATGTGTTTACTGTCTGGTTGAAATTGCTTTCCACATATACTCCTCTGATTAAATTTTTGTCTGAAAAGTCAACGCTAGACTACCTTGTGGGTGCAACCTGTTCTGTTATACTGCCACCCACCCATTAATAAAACATGGTTGATTCACTTCTTGCACTCATGTGATCAAAGGGGCATGTTATGTGTCACCGCACACTGTTACTTATTTGTTATTAAATTGATTAAAAAAAAAGTTACTTAATTTAATTATAGTTTTTTGTTGATGGATTGCCTTTTAGCTGTATTGTTGATAGAGCGTTATTAAGTAATTTATGTACAGCTTGTTTTGCTTGGTTCAAGAAGGACCAGAGTGTTTTGAGAGAAACCGTTGAACTCCGCCTTTCACCATCGGGGATTTATCTAGACCACCTCCCATTTTTAAAATATAAAGTATTAAAATTTACCAACTGTGGTGTATGGTTGCTCGTCTTATCTAAAAGATACCACATACCTATTATACTTGTGGATGATGCTGTTCATAGTGATGGTATGAGTAAGTGAGGCTTTGAAACCTAAGCCCAGAATGAGAGTTGTCACGTTTGTGACATTCTCACATCTTGTCTTCTCAATCTGTTTGCCCTCCCCAGGAATCACGCTGTCAATAGGCCACACCCCATCCGTCGCAGTCATGCACGCATCCGGATGTCTGAAGACGTGTGACTTTTAAAGGGAGTTGTGGGAAAACGGAGCTTGGAAGGCTCTCAGCGGGAGTTAAATACTGAAGCTGCACGGGGCTAGAGATACAGCGATGGCGAGCACTCAGACCAGTCTGAAAACCGCTTTCAAAGACTTGACCTCATTCAAGGGCAGCATGAAAAGGTTGTACAGGGACAGGCTGGAGGATGCACCAATTAAGAAGAGAGTGATGGCGGAGATTAATCTGAAGAGGAGAAGCCTGGAATCAACACCCAGGACACCCAAGGTCAAGCGGGAGCACATAGAGGAGTGCCACGGTGACTCGGACGTGGCAGGCGATGGGGGAGGGAGACGGCAGTTGCTTGTGGCTAGTGGAGCCAAGGCTCTGGACCTGAGCCCGGGACTCAAGCACACGCTGGCCCAGTTCACGCTCAGCAGTCAGAGCTCGCTGGGTGGGCCCGCTGCCTTCTCTGCCCGTGGCACTCAGGAGCACGCCGGCTCCCCAGGGTCGCTCTCATCGCTGACCTCGCCGCCCGTGCTGGGGGGTGGCCCGTTGCTGGTGCCATGCGACAGCTCCACGGAGCTTACACACTCGCTGCTGGAGGGCGAATCCATCTCCTGTTTCGTGGTGGGGGGAGAAAAGCGCCTTTGCCTCCCCCAAGTGCTCAACTCGGTACTGCGCGACTTTTCGCTGCAGCAGATCAATGCGGTTTGCGACGAGCTCTATGTCTACTGCTCCCGCTGCAACGCCGAGCAGCTGCACGTGCTTAAGGTGCTGGGGATTCTGCCATTCAACGCACCGTCCTGTGGCCTCATAACCCTGACTGATGCCCAGCGCCTCTGCAACGCCCTTCTGCGTCCCGGCCGCACCCTCGCGTCAGAACCCGCTCAGGGCCTCCTGAAAGAGGGCGGGACCAGCTTCCAGGTGGAGCACCAGTGCTTGGGCAAGGGCCAGGGCCTGTTCGTGCCCCAGTTCTACACCCAGCCTGAGGCGCCATGCATCCAGTGTATAGAGTGCCAGCTGATGTTCTCCCCAGAGAAGTTTGTGCTGCACTCACACAAGTCGCCTGACAAGAGGACCTGCCACTGGGGATTTGACTCTGCAAAGTGGCCATACTACCTGCAGCTGGCCCGCAAGTACCTGGGCACCGTGGAGGAGGCCTCCCTGAAGCAGCTGCTGGATGAGATAAAACAGAGGTTCCACTACCCGCTGAAGACGGTGCTGGACAAGGTAAGATTCGACATTCCCATCTCTGTAGGATAGTGAGGGTCTGCACCTCAGCATATAGCCAGGGATGGACATCCGGACGGTTTTATGTGTGACGTGGCTTTTTAAACTTGCATCCTAGACCAGCCGCTCTGGTCTGGGTGTGTCAGGACTTCTGCTGTGATGGGGGGGTTGTTTTTCATGGCCTGGCTGGATGGGGGGGGGGGGGTGTAGGCCCTGCTGTGAGGCTCCTCTCAGCTTTATCGCCCCTGTTTGTTTTGTTAAACTCCAACTGACCCAGACACGGAAAGAAGCCAGTCAGGGGCTCGCCAGGTGCTCTGCACGTTGTTTTGTCTGGAAGACCGTCCAGCTGGTCCAAAAGGCCAAAGACCAGTGGGGAATGAACAAACTTTGTTCCCTGGTACAAAACCTCGTGGGGTCCAGATTGTGGAAAAAAGTCCATGTCGGGCCAGAGTCTGCCGTTTCTCAGATAAACGTGGACATCTGTCAAACAAAGGATGCAGAAATGCTAAGGATGATGTGATGTGTTGGGAAAGGCGATGTCTTGGCTTTTTATACTGAGGTTCCAGAAGGATTCGTGGCCTCAGAGCGGGCGTGTGAAGTCTGGGACGTTCGGGGGAATGTGCCCTGATTCCTGCTTCATGTTTGTCAGCGGTGAGAGTCTGTGTGAGACTGGGATATAAAATGCCTCCGGATCGGGTTTCTGCCTCATCTCATGACTGCGGTGTCTTCACAGCCCCCCCAGCCCCATTCCCACCCCATCCCCCTCGCTAGTACTCTTAAAAATAGCCCCGACACCAAAGTGTTTTCCCTCGTCTATCAGTCTCCCCAGATCAGAAATGTCGGCTTGTCTGAGACGCACGACGTGTGAGGGGAAGGTTGCAGGTGTAAGTGTTGCCAGGTGAGCTGCTGTTTGCGCCCTAAAGAGAGTCGGTTTCAGTGAGACTTGAGAGAATCTCTGCATCTCAAGGACGTCTTGGAAAATGTAGACGTGCATGGTGCAGGTGTGGAGAGCTCCTCGACCCCCCCCCCCCCCAGCTTCACCACACTGAAACTGTAAATATGTGCCGGAAATGCTGTCTGGCGTCTCGTCTGAATCCTCGTCTAGCAGTCAAACCCCCATTTCAGCCCCTCCTCCTAGGGCCAGAGCTCTCAGTAACTGTACCTTAGTCTAAGGCAAGGCGCTCGTGTTTGGACACCCCCGTCACTGCCTTTCATGTCAGACCAGGCTTCCAGAGCGCGCGCACACACACGTACGTACACACGGCTCCCACGCGCAAACCATGGCAACCTGCGAACCAGTTACTCTCGCGCTGCATAAAGAGCTGCTAGCTCCAGACCCTGAGACACGTCTCTGTCTGGCAGTGTCTTGCACTCCTTCTCAGCCCTGCTGTCAGCTTTTGAATTACTTCTTTCCTTTCCATATTAACAACACGATTTTGCCCAAATATTTCCAGAGAAGGTAAAAAGTCTTAAAATGGTTGTTTTTCAGGCACAGTTGACTGAATCCATACCGACAACTTTTTTTCTGCCTTTCCTCCCCACTCACAGTTTTTAAAAGTGTGCAAACATTTACTTTTTATATGGTTACTCGTACATAAACACACCAAAGCAACATTTGGCGCCAGCTGATGTTTCAAAGGGTAAGACATTTTGGTTTCGGTTGAAAGGCTAGAGAGAAACCAGTGACCAGGGGGTGTGAAAAGCGAGTCTCCCATTGTGCCTGTTGTCATTTCGGGTCCTCCTGCTGTTTTTGGGGAGGCCAGCGGCATTGAATCGGTCCCTGGTGCTGAGGTTCAGCAGAGAGGCCATGTGTCTGTCCACAGCTACACTCGTGAGCCGTCACATCCAGGACAGGTGCTCCTTTGAGAAGTTTTGTTAACTTCTGCACACAAGCACCCCCATGGGAGCCCCCAGAAAGCACAGGCTGCAGGCCATGCTGACCACAAAGAAAGGCCCCTCTGGATTGCTGTCTGGCCCAGTTCAGAGGGGGCGGGGGGGCTTCTAACATAGCCTTTGTGCCTCTGTGCAGCACTCCCCCTCCCCCCCGGCACCCTTGTTCATGGGCCGTTAGCACGGTCCTTCAGAGGCGTCATAAAAGGGAAACAAATTTCATGACTGACTTACCCTGGCGGCCCAACTGGTGAGGGCAGAGGCCGGCGGGCAGAGGCCGGCGGGCAGAGGGGTGCAGAACACCAGCTGTATTTGCGCCGCCTTTGCTGCTGCCATTTTTCAGAAGCGCCCATGAGTGTGCAATGAAAAGTCCAGTAAGGGGGGGGGAAAAAAGGGGAATGTTGCTTAATAACTGCCCCTCCCCATTAGCATGAGTCATGGTGCCCCTCGTGCCGAGGAACGCCATTTCATTCTGCACTCATGAGGAAAAGGAATGGGGAGGGTGATGTGGGGGGGGGAGTGCTCTTTAGATGTCTGGCTTTATCTCCCTCCCAGCAGAGCAGTGACCTCCCTCCTCTGCCACCCACCCCCCTTTTGAGGCCAGTGATCGGTTAGCCTTAGAGTAGGAGAGGCCTGGCTAAACAGCGCCCCCCCACCCCCCCATCCTATCCGCAGGGACCCTGGCTGCAGTGTGGAGGACCGACAGCTGCGGGCCCCACAGAGACCTCTATCCGACCTCCTTGCCGACTCCCCCTTGCCTCCCTCTGCCTTGACTGCGCCAGTTCTGCTCCAGTTACCCCCCAGCCCCACATCCCCCACCCGCCCTGTCGGCACACAGGCCAAAGCCTCCTGGAAATCTCCCTATCCGGGGCCTCCCGTCAGCCATGCTGACGTCTGAGAAGCCCCAGCCGTCTGGGATGCCATGTACACTGAGGCGCTTCTCCCTCCGGTGCCGGAAGCCGCCGGCCGGGGTCATGTGACCCGCACATTGGCGACCCCTCTCCCCCCTGCGCTCCTTCATCTCCATGCCAATGGGCCGGCTCGGAGACCGCCTCAACCTTCTGTGCGTCCTTCATTTAGCATCGCTTGCTCTTGTTAGCCAAAAAAAAATTGGCAAAGGAGACTGGCTAGGTAGGGGATAACCTGATTGGTTTAGAAATCCGAGCTGGTGCAGGAGTGTTTTGTGATTCGGTTGGCTCGTAGGGGTTTGGGGCAGTGGATTTGCTGAACTGGAGGGGCCCGTCCATGCTGATTAGTTATTGTGTTTGTGTCATTTGGTGGGGGAGGGGTAGTGCTTTCTTTCTGTCAGAGCAAAGACCTGGGTTGCACTTAGAGGGACAAACACACACACAGGAGCAGCTGTGTTCGTTGGCTTCCCCAGGGACAAAGTCTGGTTGAGACGGGGGTTCAGCCTGGGGCAGCTGTCCTCTCGCAAGCAGTCCACACAAACCTCTCGCAAACAAGGCTGAGTCTACCGGGTGCCTTGTATGCCTCAGCCACGCTTAGTTGCCATCTCTGTCCTTTTGCCCTACCCACTTTTCCTGCAGTGTAGTTCTAAGATGGATCATGAGGAAACAACTGTGGTCTGTCAAGGAACGTCAATGCTAATTAGTCTATGGTTGGTGCTCAGGTGAGACTCTGCTGGTGTGGGTGAGGGGCAGGGGCCATAAATTGTCTGCACTTGCAAGACTGCACCCCCATCCACTGGCGATAAGTGTCTGAGTTCAGAGCACTTGGGGTGAGATGGAAATTGAACCAGTGCCATTTTCGGGTCGTGGTCCCCTTTGTGTGGATCCCAACATGCCCTCATGCATTGGTAGTTACAGTCTAATTCTCAATGGTCGTGGTGCTTGCAGGCGTGAAGATCACACAGCCAGTGAAGTTGGTAGCCGGAACAGGAGGGAGCCTGTGAATGTGGTGGACGTGGCTGCTTGTACCCTGTGGTCATTTTCATCCAAGCTTCTCTGACACTGCGTAGGAGGAAGAAGCACAAGAGTCTGATGGACTGAGGTCTTTGCTTTTGCAAAAAGGGGCCTCTTATCTGAAACGTCATGCTGAACAGACAGGCATAAAGTCCCCCCAAAACACATGTTTGTGAAATGTGCAGAGACTTTGAGACTTCACCGAGACTTTGGTCCAGTCCAGCTCGTTGCAGAGAGATCAGGAGCGCCACACTGTGGTCTGGGGCTGGGGGCGGGGGGGGGTTGGCTGTCAGGCACTCAGACAGCCGTCTGCTTCCCTGAGACACTAGCGATAGGCGTCTAGACGGAAGGCCTGTGACCAAATATGGTCAAGAGCAGATGTGTGCGGCTGTGTGCTTCCCCGTCTGTTTTTTTTTTTTCTGTGTCAGTCCGAGAGAGGAAGAAGTGAAAATATCGCACCCCCCCTCTCCACCTTAGCCCAGTCCTTAACCACAAAGTCTGCGTGTGATACTAGTGAGGGGATGGAGGTGGTTGTTTGTGCAAAGGCAGGCCCGCTGCTGTAGCCGCATGGGAGGCAGTATGGCCGACTGCCCTTCACAGTCCTGGCAAAATCAAGCCAATAGTCTGCACGCTCCCTGGGCTCAGCTGCAGGAAGTCCGCCGAGGGGTAGGATGTGGGACAGGACAGACTGGGCGTGACCACTTGGCAGAAAGGGGGGGGGGTGTTTGCTCACTCAGCTACAGCGCTGTGTGTTGAGCTCCGTGTCTCTGGGGCCCTTCGGTGTGCTGTGCAGCCTGAATGCCGACCCGTATGAATCGGGGGCACGGTGGGGTTTTTTAAGCCCTCCCTCCCTTGCACAGAAACCCCACAGTTGATTGGCGGGGGTGGGGTGACATTGCAGACGCAGACAGGGAACTCTCCTCGGGGCAGTCACGGAAGCAGGGGAAGGACGTCTTCTGTTCTTTTTAGTCTCTCCCGATTTTTATATATATTTTTTTTCTTCTGCGGACCTCCCGCCTACCACCCCAGCACTGGCCCAGATACCTTTTGCACTCAATAGAGTGGATGCGGCAGAAACGTGTTCTCAGATGGGTCTGTGGGATCTGGGGGGGTGCTGGGGGTGGGCATGACGGACGGATCGGCGTGACGACACTCGGATCCCTCCCGCGTAAACCACAGGAGAGCCGGTGAAAGTGAAGCGCCTTAATCTCAGTTTGGCTGACGGAAGACAAGCGGAGCTTCCATTGGGTCGGGGGGTGGGTTTAATCTGTGAGAGTGGAGGAAGCATCTGCCCACCAGGAAGGCTGGGTCAGGCCCTCGTCAGTTTCATTTTCCCCATGACCCCCCACCCCAGTTCCGCGTCCGTCTCGAGCCTCCAGGCACAACACTGGAGTAGTGGGTTGTGGTACCACCCACTGGGGGCCCTGTCACGGTGCTCCATTGACTGTCAACCACCGCACACATCGATACGGAAATCGATCTGTCCTCATCTGTTAGAGCGCCGAAGTTCAGCGCGTGGGTGTTTCTGTGGAAGGGCGCCCCCCGGCTGTGTGTGGACTGCGCGCGGTGAGCAACCGAATAATCTGTCCGTGGGAGGGAGGCAGACTCGGCAGGTGTGACCCCTGTAGCGTAGGGGAGGAGAGGAGGAGAGAGGGGGAGGGCAGCTTGCCTGGGAGACGGGGAGCGTGCCTCTGAGGTGGCGTGGGGGGGGTGGGGGCGTATGAAACGGGGAGCTGCGGCAGACTGCGGCGGGATTACGAGCGGCAGGGGAAGCTTTTGGCGGTCGCCGAGGATGGGCGTTTCAGAAATGCGGATCCAGACTGGCAGGAGCATGCGTGCCTGTGAGAGTGCGCCGTGCCGCGCCGTGCCGTGCCGCGTCTGAGCTGGAAGCCAGGCTCAGTGCTGGGTAACACGCAAACGCTGGCCGGCGCCGTGAAAGCGTGCAGTGCCGGTCCTGTCTGCGTCGTCATGGCAGCGAGTGGTACGCGCCGTCCGAGTATTTCCTGTTGGCGGGCTCTGGGGGGCGTGGGGGTGACGGTGTAAGCTAGTAGAGAGATCGGGGGGGGGGGGGTCCAAAATGACAGTTGAACAGCTGCCATTCAGTCGTCACTAAAATCGCCCTATTAGTGCTGCTTGGATCTGCTGTCACTTCAGGAAACGAGCCGTTGCATCTTCACCCCAGCCCCCCCCCACCAGAATCCCCCCCGCCTCGGTGTGTCACACTGCATTGCAAGGGCATAGAGCCCTTTGGAGACTCTGTGCCAGGCTAATGTTCCCACCCCTTGCACGACCCCCTACTGGACAGGCTGGGATGGCGCAGCCCTGATGCATTCTCACTGGGAGCCTGAGCTGGGAATTTATGTCCTATTACAAGGTTGCTTTGGCATTCCTGTTCTTGGCATTGCGGGCTGTTTCCGTGCTGCGACTCCGCCACCGCAGAGTACAGCCTCCCCCCCCTCCCCCCCCCCACGCGCAGTAGATCTGAGATTCACTGCATTCTTNCCCCCAAGCCGTAGAGCACCGCCCCCATCCTCCCCCACACGCGCAGTAGATCTGAGATTCACTGCATTCTTTTGTCACCTCTGCAAAATAATTAATGCAGATGCCAAGGTTATGTAGACTATCAGACTGCCTTTTGGTATTAAATTACAGTGGTTACACGAGGACTGAAGGGCAATGTTTGGGTGGGTTAGTGCCGGTTTCTTACGCGACAGGAAGTCCCAGCCCGCTAGCCGATGGTGTATTTCAGGAGCAGCGCTGTCTGGGTTTATATTTTGAAGTGAGGAGCTTTAAGCCACTGTAGCCAGCGCTGCCGCGGGCTCTGGCCCTCCCGCAGCCGGTCCGTACCTAAATGCCGCAACCCGGCGCCTGCGCTACCTGTCTGATGAGTGGCGGTGGCTCACAATGGTGGCTTTGTTCCCCAGGAAAGAAAAAAAAAAAGCCGGCCCTCTTTCAGCCTCCGAGGAGGAGGGATGGGGCCTGGAGCATGTTTGGGGGCAGGGGCAGCTGTGTGTGTGTGTGTGTGCGTGCGTGCGTGCGTGCGTGTGTTCCTGCATGCTGTATAAATCCCCAGGAAGGCAATCGGGCTGCGTGTATAAGTCACGGTCCGGCAGGTTTTACCCACATGCCCCTTCTGATGGGGGCGATGGCCAGAGACTGGTGCAGAATCGCCCCCATCAGCCGACCCACTGGTGCTGAAACACCCCTGCCCCGCAGCCAGTTTCCCAACTATTCCCCCCCTGCCCACATTAACATGGGAAGGGCCCCTCTTTGTGTTGACAGATGTAAATGAGCCAGGGGTCGTTGGTTGGGGGGGGGGGGTTGTTGTCTGGCTTGAAGAGGCAGTCCCCCCTGCAGCCATTGTTTCCTGCTCTTTTCCAGAAGGCCCCAGAGGAGGACGGTCAGGTGAGGAGAGCGACCTCTGACCTCTGCCCCCCCAGCAGCAAGCTGCCACACGCCGACCCGGCCGGGAAGGTAACGGCCCTCTCGCTCCGCCCCCAACGGGGACATCTGGGCTTGCAAACAGGGGCCGTTGACTTGCGTCCGGGGTGACCTCTTGCTTAGTTCTTCCAGCACATGGCCCATCCCTCACCCTGCTGCCCCCTCCGCCCCACCCCACACATCAGAATGTACCCTGACGTGTTTACAGAGCTCATGATCCGGGCTTCTCTCTGTGGTTTGATTGTGTCGCAGTGATCACAGATACCTGCCTGAGAATGCCCATAAATCTGAACATTTATGTACCCTTTTACACAGTCACTGGTAAACCCAGACGGGTTCTGAACCAGCTCACCTTCTGTACCCCTGTCTGAGAGTAACAAAAACAGGCTGTTCTTAGATTTCCTGTCATCTAACTGGTGATGGTGTCTGTTGCAGATTAAACCCCAGCCCGCCCTGGTGTTCAACCACTTGTACCCCAGCATCAAGGAGGAGCCTTGTCACACGCCCATCGTTCAGCCCAGGTACTCCATGTCCCAGAATGCACCTGGAGGCCCCCTTTACCCTGACTGACATACATATTTACTCGAAGCTTCAATCCTGACAGCCAGACTGACCGCGCTCCCTGTTTTAATAAACGTGGCGCAGACTAAACGGCAGACGGACACGCCCGCCTTTTATTGGCCGGGTTTGGACGGCACTGACGGTCGTTAACCGTCATGCTAATGATGAAACAGCTCATATGCATGCGTGTGGGGGGAGCTGCCCGTGGCCCTGCCGTCTGCTGAGCCTGTAATAATGGCAATAATAGGCCTCAGCTATGAGTCATTAATTATTAATGCTCAGCTTATTGAGTTAAAGAGTTGTGCTTTATTCTCTTACTTAAAGGCCGTCTGAGTCTCTGTCTGCGTTATTCACAGCCGTGTCTCTCTGTCCTCCCCCCGTCTGTGTGCCGCAGTTACTACCTGTACACCTATGATAAAGTGGTGGCCCCCAACGTGTCCCTCGCCCACCCCCACCCCCTGAGGAAGGAGGGGGAGCTTGGCGCCGACGGGGTAGGGGCCCTGCTCAAACACCACTACGGAGAGGCGCGGCCCCCACCCAGCGCAGGTCAGTACGAGCGCATGGCTGCCCAGCCCCCTGCCCCATCCCCCCTCCAGTCCGAAGCCCCCCACCCCCTCGCTCGCTGCTGCTAATGATTAATGGAGATCCAAGTTTAAAGAGCGGGGGAGCTCTGTGTGCCTGAGCGAGCGAGAGAGAGGGGAGGGGGAGTGGAATGTACCATGTCTGTGCAGTGAGGCGCTTGACGGGGGCCGGCGTGGGATTTGTGGAGTGTGTGTGGGGGGGGGGGGGTTGCCGCTCTCCCCATGGCTGCCCTTTCACCCCCTGCTGACTCTGCTCCACAGACGCCTCCTCTTTCCTGCTTTCCTTTTGCTCCGCTTCTTTCTCTTTTCCTCCTACTCACTCTCTTTCTCTCTATCTATCTCCCATTCCCTCCCCGCCCCCCACATATCTCCGTATCTCTTCCCTCTTCCCGTCATTCTGTCTGCCTTCCTCTCTCTCGCTCTCCGTATCTCTTCCTCCTGTCCGCCCACGCCGTCTTTCCCCCCGCCCCTCCCCCGCACACACGCACACACAGGCGTGCGCCGTTGCCCGTGAGTCGGCCCACGTACGTGTGACGGAGGCAGACAGCTCTGAGTCAGTGGGCGGGGAGGTGCCAGCCTCTGGTCTCTAGTGCTCTCTCCACGCACGGCATGCTGGGAAAGCAGACCTGCTGTGAAATCCCACTCTCGTGGCTAAAAAAAAAAATCACATCTCAGCTAGGTTTTTTTACCCCCCCCCCCCCCCCATATATTGCATTTTTGGTTGTCGAGTGACAGTTGGTCTGCGTGTCTGGTGCATTTTGGTGTGTTCGGCAGCCGGAGGGGGCGATTTGCATGAAGGTTTGTGTGTCTGCGTGTCTGCGTTGGGTGTAATTTTTACCGTTTAGTCTGTTAATTCATGTCGGATAATCTCTGTGCAATAATCACTGGGTGCACTGTGACACTATGACTGGGATAGGGCTGGACAGGAATCCGAAAATGCCTTTAATGTTAAGTCAGTGCCAATTATTGTAAATTTTGATTGCGAAACAAGTGCATTTTATTGGTTTATTGACATAAGGTATGAATTTGTACCTTGTATAAATAGTTATATAAAGTATATGTTACTGAACATAATGATAGAGCATAATACCTAAAAAAATAAACAGTGTCTTTGAATATGGTTTTATTGGCATAAATAACAATGACTCCCCCCACAAAGTTATTAAAAACAACCACAGGTTGCTGAAATATTGTTGGTAATTATGTGGTGGTGACATAAGTAGAGCTTTGAAGACGTCCTTCCAGTCTTGGTGCCGTTGGCTGAACGCGTCTGGTCTTGTTCGCACTCGCTTGTCTGTGCTTTCCAATGCAAAGTCTGCGCCACGGTGTGAGAACCTGAGGACACCCACAGGGCTCTCGGGGTTAGTCACAGACCGGCTCTGCGGCGTGTGTGTGTCTGTACCTGTCTGTGCTCTCGCCTGACCTGCCGTCCTCTGACGTGACCGCAGAAGCTGCGGCCCCCGGCTCCGGCGAGGCACGGAAGTCTCATGGCACCACTGAGCACGAGGGCAGGAACGGACCCCAGCCGGTCGCCCCGGAAACGCCCGCGCCGGGCAAGGATGGCGGCGCGGAGGACGACAAGGACGACAAGGACAGGATCGTGGTGGAGATCATACAGATGTATACTCGGCAGCAGGAGAAGCTCAACTCCACCCTCCAGAAGCAGAGGCAACTGGAGCTGGTGAGTGACGCTGGGTATCAGACAGGGTTGGGGGTGGGGGGCAGGGAGCAGGACAGACATTCAGCTCTCTTGCTGAAGCTTATTTATACCTTAAATTTATTTTGTGCCAGCATAAGCCGTTGGTTTTAATAGTATTTAGGGTGTTACTCTATTGGCACTGGAAACAAAGGGCCCATCCACAAGGGGGCGCTGCATGCATCTGTCCTGTATTCAGTAGTCGTTTTATTAGTCCCGGCTAGGACCTAGTATCTTATTAGTGCCGGGTTGGGCCCCTTTTTGTGTCTCTAGAACCGCTTCAACCGTTCATGAGTTGTGTGTTTAGAGAATCTTCCCTGCACAGCACTGTTGCTCTGAGCTTTTATTTCTCCTCTTGTGACTTTCCTGTCAGTTATAATGAGCCCGGCCGCTCTCGTCTGACCTCTCTCATTAGCAGGGAGTTTTTCACCCACAGAAATCCTTTATTTTCATCACACCACTCTGTGTAAAATTTAGACACTGGTGCGTGAAAACGGGGTGTAACCGCAGAGTGCACCACGTTCGACATGCAGGCGTCCTGACGCCTGGTCAGCCAGGAGCTGGAGCTCTCGGCCCCGTCTGCGTGCCGCACGTACAGCTTCAGGCCTCGTGATTGATCGTTCAAGGCGGTTGGCGCTAACGAGCGGGTCTTGCTAATAAGCCGGGAGCATCCACGCGTGCCTGACGGGCTTCTGCTCCCTCCCCTGCATCACAGGAGCTGGAGGCGCTGCGCGGGGGCGAGGTGGCCCGGCTGCGGGAGCTGTCCGCCGAGCGCTGCGAGCTGCAGAGCGAGCTGGAGGCTGCGCACAGCGAGCACGCCCGCCGCATGGGTGAGGCGCGGCAGGAGCAGCGGCAGCTGGAGCAGCGGCTGGAGAGGCTGAGGCAGCAACCCTGCGCTTGTGAGCTCAGCACACAGGGCCAGCAGGAGGCCCGCTACGCAGCACAGGTATGATTACCGCAGCCAGGGGGCGCCGCGCCGCGCGGAGCAGGCCGACCGCTCAATGGTTGTACTATTATTTTAAAAAGATGATAATAATAACTGCTGCCAGTGTCGTATGCAACCCTTAGCACAGTGTCCCAAGCATAAGGTTTCATGTATAGTGTGATGAATTTCTTGGTCCTAGAATCTAGAAAGAAGATTCAAACAGGCTATGAAATGGTGCCGTTCTGAGTCTGTAAAACAGAGCGGAGAACGACTCAAGCTGGACAGCAGCACCCCCTTGTGGCACAGCAGTGAAATTTGTCCATTGGTTAAAAAGTAGGAAGACTGTAAATGTAGCAAATTATAATATAATATAATAATGAGAAATCCACCACAGGTTTAAACCCCATCAGTCTTATTGTTGTGCCATGAGGTCATTATAATAATTTATTTTACCACAAATATATGTTATAGAGAAGAGTCAATATCATGTAGCAAAAGTTTATATAGAAACGCAGCAGTGTTACAGGGAAGCCCCTTCCCAAGCTTGAATTCCTCCTGCTCAGTGTGTTTTTGACTTGCTGGCACTAACCGCGCCCCCCCCCACACCCCCCCCCCCCCCCCCCCCCCCCCCCCACTCTGCCCCCCCGCAGCTGCTGGAGCTGCAGCAGAGGCTGGAGCGGGCGGAGGAGGACCGCCAGGAGCTGCAGGAGGCGCTGCAGCGGGAGAGGGAGGCGCGGGAGGCACTCGAGTGCGTCATCGCCCAGCTCCGGCAGCAGATGGCCGAGTCCGCCGCCCCCCTGAAGCCGGCAGACCCCCCCGCCAAGGAGGTAACCCCCAGGCAGAGCTAGACGACGAGGAGGAGGAACAGAAACGCCAATCGCTTCACTCTTCCTTCTGCCTCCCGGTTCCTTCCTCTTGTTATTGGCATAAATGTGGGACTCCTTTTTACTCAGCCTGTCCTCCCACAGCAGTATTTAAGCACCCCCCCCCCAGCCCTGCTGTCAGTGTTTTTGTTCACTTCTCAAAGTACTTGTAGGCGGGGTGTTTCTTTTTCGGTGGACCCACGTGCCTCTCCCCAGCCCCCAGGATTCCTAGCTCTGATTCTGTGACACCTGGCTGAACACCAACAGCTTTGGCGACCTTTGCTTCTTCCCGCCCCCTACCCGCCACCCCCCCCCCGTGTACATACAGACTCTAAACCAGCGGCAGCAGAACTGCAATAGCATGGACATGTTTTTTTTATATTATTATTTGGAGAAACTGATATAAAATCGTACAAAATTATGGAAATCGGTATGGCGAAGAAAATGTGCGATGGCGAGACTGAACAAAAGGAAGCGCGTCGCCCTGAGGAAGGTCGTCCTGCGACGTCCCAGCAGCTCCCAGAAGAAGCACACCCTCAGGTCCATGCAGTACCTAGGAATGTGATCAAAGTCCAGATAGGCAGTCTGATATCAACACGCTTTTTCTTTCCCTTGTTTTTTTTTTTTTTTTTTTTTTACTTTACCAGTAGGTGGGATCCGCTGGGTCATAGTGGGATTCTCATCAAAGACTTAACTGGGGTCTGTCGTTGGATGCTAGTCTCCTTGTTTTACAGGTGCAATTTTCTCACACTTTCCTGAAATTTGAATTGTCTTGTTAAGCTTGAAGTCCCTCAAAGCCCTTTGTGTGTTTCCAGAGTAATTTTGGCTTTTGAACATTAGGGAGGGAACGATTTACATGAACCGTCAGTGATCCCCAACAAGCTAACTGCTGTGATCAGAATGATTATGCGAGTGTTTATTTTGCTTGGCGAGTTTTCCTAGTTTCCTCATCACTTGGTTTGTGGTAAACAGGTGCCCCCCCCACCACCACCTCCCCCCCCCCCCACAGCTCAGAAGTGGATCTGTGAGAATGAGGTGTAAAGCAGCATATATGTGACATGAGATCCCAGAGCAGTCTGGCTGGGGGGGCAGAAACATGATCTGCGGGCAGTAAGCAGCTGGAAGCCCGCAGTGGCCCACATTTGTGTCTAGGGAGCCGAGCACTGAGATGCCGCAGACTGGCGCCTGGGCGTGACGTCCACTGGGGCCCTAGCCTTTGTTGGACGTGCCAAGTAGTACCGGGAATGAGTTGGTGACACGCTCGCTGGAAGGCACTGCCTGGGCCAGACAGACCTATCAGTACCGAGGACCCGATTGTAAGACTCTGTAAGACTCTGTCTGTAGTAGATGATCAGGGCTTACATGTGCTCAGAGCCCCTGTCCTCCTGCACCTTAAACAGCCAGCAGTTAGCAGGTTTCCTTCGAACGACACGTAAGCGCTGGGTGCGGACAGACCAGTGGGAAGGTGCGGCGACGCAGTGTCGGGTATCGAAAGACGCCGACAGCCAGGCCGCAACAAGTTAGCAGACGTGCTCAGCACACACTGCAAATGCACGTAAAAAACAAACCATTCCATTATAGAGAACCCCCTCCCCCCCATTCAAAGACCAGGGGCTTAGTAGGAAATTACAACCCCTCCCACCTCCCCAGTCTCAATCCTGCTGTTCACACTATACCTTATTGTAATTTATTTCCAATTTTATTCCCAAACACTAGATCCCTGCCTTTTCCTTATAGACTAAACACAGCAGCCGATAATCATTTCTGCAATCTTCAGTACATTTCAACAATGATGCAAGTGTGTGCTCTGAAGTTGTTCTTATGTTTGAACTTTTCTTAAAATTATGCTAAAATTATTTAATGTATTAACTAAAAGATTTATATTCACTTTGTATATACAGTAGTCTAATATATTTAAACTGTTATTACAAATTATCTTTGAAAAGGTTATATAGATAGGACCAGAAACGTCACAGGGCTACAAAGTCTAAATATTTTGCTTTTCATAAAGTCATTCATTACATTTTTGTTTGTTTTGTGGTTTTGCAAACCTCTGAAAGGTGAATCGTTTGTGTGGGAGGTGTTTTGCATGGATTAGCAAAAGAATGTTGCTTGGATGCATTTTTTACTTAAAATTTTATTAAAGTAGATGACGGCTCAGTAGACGATACTGCAGACTGAATGTGTGAGATAGGCATTTGACTTACCTATTTTGTACACTACCCCGCAGACATTCAGTACGTCTCCTTTTTAATATTAAAACCAACAAACGAGCTTTGCACGTACCGGTAACTAATGTATTTGTATATGTTACTTTATGGGGTTCACACAAGAGCTTGTTTCAAGAAGTTTAAAAAAAAAATCCTTTATTTTTTTTTCTTCCAAATAGCTATGCTGAGGAGTCGTCTTTCTAAAATGTACAGCAAGACACGGAATGCTCTATCGGTGTATCGGTGCGTTAGCGCCACCCGTGTCGGCTGGAATTACCCACACTGCATGTGGAGTGAACAGCAGCGCCGCACTGGCTTAAACAGCGACACCCAGTGGTGCGATCTCATTGACCGAGTGCAGCGACCGCCTGAATCTGGTAGTCCGTTGACTCCCTCACATCTTAGAGAGACGTTACCAAAACGAACCATTTTGTGGAGTAATTTGCAATTATACGAAATTATGTTATGAGGGGAATGTCTATTATGTGAATACTGTAAAATTACTACATTTTGTTTACAACATTTAAGATTAATCAGTATTAGATACCCTCTCGACAATTACCTCTGTACCAGTTAGTTAAGTGCTGTTTTTTATTTTTACGTAGTCTAGGATATTTGCATTCTTATTTCTGACTTTTATGTACTGGTCGAATAGTAAATAGCATTTTATACACAAGATACGCTATATATTCGTTTGTCTGTAAACGGCATAAATGCAACAGGAAAGATTACCCCGCTTTTGATATTCATGGGACGGTCTACGATCACTTTCCGCTCCAACCCTCTCAAGCCCTTGCATTACAGCAGTGTTATGAGAATATACATGGCTGTGAATTGTGTACATATTTAATTACATGTTTAATGACCGCATTCAGTACAGTTCAGGCCTGCCACTGTAAGCAGACTTTTTACGCCGACTAAAAATAGGATGGTGCCAGCACTCGTTTTTTTTTTTTAATGTAATTTATGAACCATTTGAAAATGTCACATTTGCGACACTCTGCGTGTCGCACTTTGATCAAAGGGTGTTGGTACAAACCGTTAAGTCGCCCTACGCGAAGCCTTCTTTCGCGTATGAATTATTTTGTACATGCTATATTTTACTATTGTCGTTTGACACATGGATGAATATCTGCTTACTTGGGCTCAGGCTGTTTGTCGTCATTAGTTGCCACACAAGATTTAAGAGAATACAATCTATTACTCTTTATGGCTTTGTAAACTTAAAAAAAAAAAACAAAATATATATATATATTTACTATTCTAAAACACGAAACGCAGTGTCTGTATCTGACCATTGCATACAATGTTGCCAATTCTATAAAATGTGATGAAACATTTTGTTTTTGCATTGCATGAAAAGAGACACTGTTCTCCTACCTCACGTTGTGATATAAAAGGGTTTTATAAGCAGACGACGCTGCACCTCTAACAGTTTATCATAATTGATATTTACTAGCGATGCAATCTGTACATGCTTTAGCTAAGACCTCAGTTGTATGTCGTGTTTTTTGTTTCCCTTTCCTTCCCGGTTTTCAGCTCTTGTAAATATACCCGGAAAATATAGAAAATGTACTTGGATAAAATTCAAGTAAAGTTCTGTAGTGTCGAAACGTTGTGTGCGTTTTTATTGGTATTAGTGTTTCGCCATTTGCGAATAAGATGAAAATTACTCGTTTTCAAAGCAGTGATGATGGAAGAATTTTCATCTATTTGTTTCTATAATGACATTTTATTCTCTACAGGTTCAGATTGTGTTCACATATGTACCTTGTGTGCGGTAACTGCGTGGTTTCAGGTAAATCTCTGAATGGTATTTCCGGATACCTTTGTATGATTATGGCGCTGACAGATGGCAAGTACATATGGACTGAACGTGGGTCGCTGACACTGCTGAGAGCCTTAACCTGTCTCACCGCGAAGAAGGGAAACACGGCGACCGGGGTAAATGAATCATTCAGCACAATAGGATTTCCATGGCTGTGTCACCACGTGTAATGTCCAAGCGCATTTTATTCTATAAATATGTGCACCACATTACCCAAATACTAACGTTATTAATCCGATGTTGAATATACACGTTTAACACTGTGCTGTACTCCTGTCCTGTAGAAGTCTGTAGCAGATGTATTTTTCCCACGGTTAGAAATGCTGTCAACTAGGTGGAAAATGGAAAATATGACCACAAGATGGCAGAATAGAGAAAAAAAAAAAACATAACTACGGGATTATTTCGCCTTCCAAAGAAAAGTGTCTTTTCAGGAGCTCCATGTTCACAAAGGTGTCTCTTCTCTGGAAGTGGCTCAGGATAAACGTCATCATCATACCTTAGGAAACACCACTGTCTTAACTTTCTCAGTGGATTTCACATTTTCTCTGCAATGGTCAAGGATCTGGAAAGTTGTAATTCAAAGCCAACTCATTGTTGGAGTTGCGCTGCAGGTGGGCAGACACAGCGATGAATCAGTTGGCCTGGTCTGTCAGTGATGTATTCGCCTTGCTAACAGCATGACAGGAAATCCTTTTGGCGCATTGACAGTCTTCTAAATTTTCTGAATTACCTGCATCCGGAGAGGCATTAAATGGCTGTAGAGCGTTTTGCAGACGTCTCCGCTATCTTCCTCGGGAATGCCTTTACTCTCTCCCACCTCAAACAAAACAATCTGTATTCCAGATGTGAGGCTATGCTTTTGAAGTTAAGAGCTATAATCACAATCATTTCTCTCCTGTCTATACTGGGTCCATGGCCCACCACTAAAAAACTAAATGATGGAATGATCAAGGTCTGGGGAAAGTTGGCACCTCTAGAGCAGAAGTATATTTGAATGTAGTAAGAATATCGGTGTGGATCAGCCTTGTTACTTGCGATCAGTGCTCTATCCTTCCTTTGATAACAGTTTAACAATAACAGCTGATAATTTTATACATTTCATACAACTTGATCATTTTTCCTTGTTATATTACTTTAATAGGTTTGACCTTTCATAAATATACTCTTCACTGAAATGCTGTTGGAGAGTGTATTTATCTCCATGTGATCAAGATTCCAGATGCAAGAACCGGTAACAGTATTCCCTAGTTTATGGTGAGCCTCACTACAAACCGTGTCATGCTCAGTGTAAGCATTAAGCAACGGCAAAGGAATTGTTGCTTTAAATAGGTCACGGTTGGAGTCATTCCATGTCAAACGTCCTTTGGTTGAACTGCTCGGGGTCGATCTTACTGCAAAAGAACAGCCGCAACGAACAGGCCGTGCATGAAGGAACTACTAGGATGAAGTTAGATTCTTATTCACAGGATCTGTGCCTCAATAAACAGACATAATGCATGTTCTGTCTTACTGATAGCATTTTCATCTCGTTAATATCATACGTGCGTTAGAAAGCTCAGTAATTCACTTTATACGTTTTACATAATACCTTCTGAACGTGGTGTTTATACAGTACTATAGAAATAATGTGTTTTAAAAGCTATACAGTGAAATACCTTCAAGCACATGATAGTGTAATAGCTGGTGTATCAGATGGTATTAAGCTTTGACAAAATATTTTGCTGTCCATATGGCAGAACATGCATTGGGCCTACGTCATTTGAAGTGGCACGGATCTTGCGAATACGAAACTGCCGAACAAGAAACTAAACTTCAGCCTCGTGAAGGAACTGCTTATCTTTCACATGCAGTCAGTGTTGGTATTACCAAAACAACTAAACCGCCCAAACCTGTTAAACTGAAGCAAGCGTGGATGCCTGGTGTGGTGGAAAAACGCCCTGACTAGGACTGTACATCAAGGGTAGCTGATTTCTTGAGGTTCTAAGTACCGAAGATCACGCAAAATCTACCAATGAGACCCGCCCACGGCTTGTAAAAATTGCCAAGGGGCACCCCCTGTCGACTATGCCCCCCGTTCAAGCGCCTGTCCCTCAAAAACTGTTTTTAATTCACCCTAAAATTGCTATTTTAAAACACTTCTGTGTTATGCTAAACAATTCAGAGCTGAGAATCAAGTGCAAAAGCTCAATTGAAGTCCAACATCACTTAAGCTAAAAATAAACATTTAGAATGTTTATTGTAAAATACTACTCTTACTGTATATAAAATAAATCAGAATTTCAGCAAGTCTGATATGGAGGCCCTACATGGGAATATAGTATTTACATTTAAAATCTTTAAGCGGATAAAATGAAGGCATGGCTTTCCCTCTGACATCACATTCCGTATTTCTAGCGTGACGTTTGATTATAGTAACGACCTTCAGGCCTTGAGCAGAAAATGTAATGTGGTACCGACAGGAAAAGAAAAAACATCCAGTTTTAAAAAGCCGCGTATTTCAAGGACAATAAATTCCCAGACTTGTTACTGCAATGGTAAGAGCATAGGCTGTATTTATTAGATAAAGGTCCCGGGGACATGCGGAGAAGGGGGTGATTCACAGACTCTGGGCAATCAAGAATGGGGTGAGTGGTGGCGTTGTCTGAAAGAGATCCAAAAGTAGAGTGATGACCAAAGGAATAAGACTGAAAACCGAAGGTGTTTTAGTGGGTTGCAGGCAGCCAATGACTGGCTGGTAAGTAATGTCCAAGATGAGGTGAGTTATATCAAATCACGGATGCTGGTGGAGCAGTAGTGGTTGGCCAGATTATTCATCTCCAGCCACGCGTGTAATTGTGGGCGTGGCACAGCGGTCGCCGACCCGAAAGACCTGCTACTCCCAGGTTCTGACAGGTGGCTTCTGTCCCAGATGCCACACCCTGTTCTCGGTCACCTGTGCCCGCCGGTGCTGTAGTGACACCATGCATATCCAGATACGTTCCATTTCAACTCGGAATTTCTGGAGTTAACACACTCCTTGAAGTCAGAATTCCTACTCGGGAAGTCGGAGGAATCTACACAAACCCGACCTCAGTCTAGAATGGCTGTGCCCTTTATCAACAGAAGTGAAAGCTGTACTGTTTATTATCACTTACGTCTTATTTGAGGCTCATTAATTCGGTCGTACACACAGTACTGTCCAACCGCTATCTGTGGACAATTTGCTAGGGTGTTTTATGCACAAAATAATGCTATCCACTGATAACAATAGCTAACAATTAACCGGGCTAGAACTGCGGCCTGTTGCAGAAAGCCGAATTTCTTAGCTGGGTAACTTGTCGGATTTAAGGTAGTCTGGACTAAATGTAAGGTAAGGGCCATTTAAATTGGAGTATGTTAAATCCGACAAGTTATCCGGCTAAGCAAAAAATCCTGCTGTTTGAAACAAGTCCCTGGTATTTCTAAATGGCTTTATGATTTGTTGTACTGGAATAGGGTTAACTCGAACGTAACTTCATTCCCAGCTCTGACTTCCGAGATAAATGAAGCGCAGGAAAAATTCCAGTGGCAGAAGTCATCTGTAAACATAGCCCTTTCCTGATGGCACAGATCCCGGGTATAGCCCCACAAAGCCACGCTGATCAGGAAGCTGTCGAGGAAACAGAGCCAAGAGATGTTCAGTATTCAAGTGGAGTTTCAGTTAAGACTTACTTATCAGCTGGAACAGAATAAATATTCTGAATCTGCTGCTCCTGAGAAAAGCGATGAACTTAGCCGTTCCCAACACAAGTCCTTCAGAAAGTCAAATTCAGATGCAAATGATTTTCAGCCTGAAGGAGGTGATATTTTTATGCATTAATATGCATAATTTTCCTTTGCTTTGCTTCATATGAACAAAATATGGCTTCTTTTATATCATGAAAATATTTTCAATGTGATTTTTTGAAATCCCTCAGCGTTATAGTGTCAAATGGTGAAATACTCCAAGTGCAATAGATCTTAACAATCTAATCTGAAATTAGATCACTTTAAATGTAAGGTTCTTTAGAGCACCTCATACAAAAATATAAGCATGTCAAATCACGGTTTAACATCAGATATGCAGATTTTCATGTACACAGATTTTCCAGTAACAATCCACAATCATTCAAATGCATCGTATTTCATTAATTGTACTGTCAATTGAGGTCCATGATTATATCGGCAAAAGGAAACTTCGGCTGAAAAATACATTGTTAATAAAACAAAGGTCAAGTTTTGATCATTGAATAGGAATGCGGTAACAGATGTCACAATAAAACAACACAGTTGGTACAGACATGAAGGGGAATGTCAGAATGCTATGGTTTCGTTTGATTTCAAGACTAAATGTTGCATTTTATGCTTGTTCTTCACTCAGTGCTCAGGACATGTGTTGAGAGATGTTTAAAAAGCTAAGCAAATGATGAAACATTGCTCTGAAACTTTAAATAGAAACAAAAGATTATTATCTTTTATTCCCCTCACATACTTTTAAAGTCACCAGACAGGTTTATGAGAACAAGCATTGAAAGCATGTATACGTACCGTCAACAATGAACATTTTTATATTCACCACATACCCAAAGTGAAATTGCTCTGTACCCTATGTAGGAAGCAGACATGGCCTTTTCTCCGTGAGATGATATCCCTCATTTCTGCTGTGATATTTTGTGAGGGTGTAGTCTCAGCTTTGGAAAAAAATAGATGTGATGAAGCACTGAATTTTTGACAGCATCCAAGGCTAACATCAAACTCACGTTATTGCAACAGCTTTCCTATCCTAAATAGAAAATAACATACAATCCAAAAAAACTTAAGTTTTAATGTGACTTTTAAAAACTGCATATTCCAAGCCCAAACTCGTTACTGTGATGCAGAGATTCCTTTGAGAGTGGAAACATCAACGCAGGTCTGTCCCTCTGAACGATGACCATCTATGTCTGGAAAGCCTGAAAAGAAATCCCAGTGGCAGAAGCCGTCTGTAAACATAACCCTTTCCTGCTGGCACAGATCCCGGGTATAGCCCCACAAAGCCACGCTGATCAGGAAGCTGTTGAGGAAACAGAGCCAAGGGACGTTCAGGTCCATATATGCGGGAATGTTCACCCTCAGCACCAGGACGGCTGCCTGCAGAAGCACGTAGGGGGCCCATGTGCTGAGGAAGCCATGCAGGATTAGGCAGAGCACCTGCTTTCTAGACAGGATGGACCTTGGAGACATGCACTGCGGCTCCACCCGCACAGACCCAATGATGCGTCCAGGAACCTTTGCTTCCATGAAGACCGGAGCTTGGAACCCTGAAACGCTGTGTATGAGAGCGCATGCGAGGGTTATCAGGAGCACGACAGAGACCTGGGCGCTCTGGGGGCTATGGAACACCTGGCACGAGCTCAGCAGCAGGTACGGCTCCTCCTGGACCTCCAAGTAAAACTGGGTGACCAATGTGACATAGAGCAGGGCTGTGGTCCAGATTAGGCCAACCCCCACGCCGTACCCTAGCTTCCTGGCCCAGTGCAGGGGCCGTGGGCGATGGGACAGATTCCAGAAGTGGTCCAAGCCTATGAGGAAGAAGATGGGCCAGTGCATCAGGCCATAGGTGAAGCACGCGGTTTGAACCAGCAGGCAAATGTGGTGAGAGGTTAGACGCAGGCCGAGGATGGACGCGTCTTCCAGGAGGTAGATGGCTGAGGTGCCGACGGCCAGGAGCGTGTCCACCAGGGCCAAGGAGACACAGAGAAAGCCCAGGAGGTTCTGCCCCATGTGGCGCCTCTGTAGCACCACCACAGCCCAATTAAGCAAGCACTTCCCATTCAGAACCAGAACCAGGGAATATATGTCATTCTGCATGGTACCACCTGGAGACATGTACTCCATGACTTCAGCAGGATCAGCCACCTGCATCCATAGGGAAAATCCACACTAAGCCAACATCCCAGATATGCTTCAGTATTCAAGTGGAGTTTCAGTTAAGACTTACTTATCAGCTGGAACAGAATAAATATTCTGAATCTGTTGCTCCTGCTGTAAGCAATAAATTGCTCCTCAACCGTCCACAACATCAGTCCTCCAGAAAGTCAAATTTAGATGCAAATGGTTTTCAACCTGAGGGAGATAATTATATTTATGCATTAATATACATAATTTCCCGTTAGTTTACGTCATGCAACGTATGACTTCATCTATAGCAGTAAAACATAGCTTCAGTTTGGTCTTTTACTTGAAGTACTCCACATTAGACCCTAACGATCTAATGTCGAATTAGATCGCCGTAAATATTCAGGTTTTTTAAGGCACTTGACAGAAAAATATGAACATGTCAGTAACTTTGTCCACATCGAAACCCATCGAATTTTAATCGCACTGCATTTTAAGTCCGTGACTATATCTACTACAGGAAAATCTATTAAAATACATCACTGATTCTTGGGAATTTCGATAAAACAGCTAGGTTTTAATTGTGAAAATAAAAAGTTACTTAAATTACAAAATCTGAAGGTATATCATGAAGGTCTTGGCTGTTCAGCAATTTACCGGTACAACCTCCTCATTTTGTATTTTTTTCATAAAATAGGCGTTTTTTTCTAGTTATTACTTTGTTTTTGTCAACATAAAGGTAAAGTCGAGTGTAATGATTATGATTGGGGGGTGGGGGCTGTGAATGTTGGATGAGGTAAGCCAAATGAACGTGGCATAATAGTGAATGGAGAGAGAGGGAAGGCATCCCCCTCCCCTAGGGTTGGACGATATGGAAGAAATATAGGGGGAATTACATAAATAAAAAATACAAGTATACATTTATGTCATAATCTAATCTAATCTAATATTTTTTTTTACAAAAGATACGGTGTTGACATGTTATGGTTGTGACAGTAGCAGTGTCAAAAAATATGAACAAGTTTAAGAGAAAATAGCAAACTTACAGGAGCTTGAGTGATCTTGAAGCGTACAATAGAGCTGATCGTTTGAAAATGGGGTCCTCAGGAATGTAGTTGACCTTGTAGTTGCCTGATTTTATTGCTTTTTATAAATTTCTGACGGTGGTGACGAATACGTGGGACACATTTTGAGCAACCACAAAGTAATAGTAAATATTGTTCAAAACTCACTGTTTGTAGGTTTTAATACATATTACAATGTACTCTTTCATATGGAAAAGATATTATTCAGTTTTTGTTTTTTTAATCAAGTTGAAATGATTATCCCCTATCTGAGGACGACTGATTTTGTAGGCAATGGGCCAGCATATAATCATTAAATTAATAAAAATTAAAAATAAGCCTATAAAAGAACCTTACATATGTGCAAAGGACCCCCTAATTATATAACCTTGGTTCTCTTTATTCATGAAAATGTTATTAATTTCTAACAGAATGAGCACGTTTCTTAGTGGGACATGTTTTTGCCAAAGTTTCAAGAATCGGTGACACTATCAGTTTAAAAACACATTAATTTCTGTTCATAGAATAATAAAACAATAAACGTTACAGTAAGACAACACAGTTGGTACAGACGAGGTGAATGTCACAAAGCTTAAGTCGATATGAATGAGTTTAAAATCCGCATGATTCACGGTGCATTTTATGCTTTTACACTGCCTCCAATTAATACACGTTACATATCAATATACGTACATATCAAACTCTCTCCTACGCCATTGCTTGTACATTACTCAGTGCTCGGGAAGTATGTTATTAAAAGATACGTTTAAAACGCTTAGTGAATTATCGAATAGCGCCCAGAAAGTTATTGAAGAAATAAACTTCTGTCCCGTTTCGTTTCACGCAGTTGTATATAATCCTGAAACGGGTTTAAGCGAACCTGGACTAGATCCGAAGTTTTGAAAGAAAGTATGAATCATTTTATATATATATGTGTGTTTTATATATTTTTTTATTTTGGGAACGCTGTCGTTTGGCACGTACCTGAAATGAATGCGCTCCACGCCCTGTGTAGGAAGTACTCCTAATGTTGCTGTAAGGCGGTTTCAGTCAGGTCGTGTTAACAATGCGACTGCTCGCATTAAATCTTTCAAGCAAGCCCCCCCAACCATTACCTGCACCAAGTTAGAGTGTGTAAGAGCCTTTATACAAAGAAAAGAACATTTTGTGTGTGTGACGTTTAAATTATTTTGTAAACCGGGCAAGGTCTGAAAATTTATCGAGTCAATTCTTTTTCGGCCTAAGTTGACTGTAAATTTGCGTATTAAAAGTAGTTCCGTGTTAATTATATTTATGTATATATTTAAAACAACACACGTCATTACACCCCGATGATGCTAGATAAACGGTTGCAAGATGGATGAAGGCATGCATGTCTGGCTCTATTACCTAAAACGAGGTATTTTTCGTAAATTTAAATTTTTCTTAACCTCCTTTGCCCCCAGTTTAGGCGTTGCTGATTTGCAACAGTTAAAAACTAACTACCTTATTACCCCACATACATATTTTATGAGTTTTTTTTACTCAGAAGTACCACTGCAGGACTTGGTTGTCCTGTCGTTACTAAAACTTAATTTGAGCCTGAAACTGTGAAAGGGTTAACTTAATTTACCCAAGTGTGACAACTCTCATAATGAATCGTAATAAATGTAGGCGATTTTAAAAAGTGTTGGAAATTGCTTTAGAAGTGCATGCTGGCGCCTACAACGTACTTGCAACTGCGGAACTTTTACGATAATCTAATAACGAGAATGGTTTTCTCCTTCACTGTGGAAAGGATACGTTTCGCAACTAAACCAGCCATGAAAACAACTTCCTTTTATAACTGCCCGCCCATACGCCTTTATTAGCCAATGACATTACAGTCGTTATCTGATTTTTCCTTCCCCAATGTCCAATCATATTATTCTTCCTGAACACCGTAGTTTGTCCTACCTAAATGTAGCGGTGGTCGATGAATATAAAGTGTTGTATAAAAGGTAGCTAGCAAGGTATATATAAAATATTAATAGCATATGACATACTTTCATTTTTACAGTAACAGTAATATCGTGAATTGTTTGTAAATGGCATTATTTAAATACATTTCTCAAGGCTAATCCGTCAAATAAGATAATTGTAATGAGCGAATGACTTTTTTTTTTTTTAAAAAAACAGTCCATGTCAGATTACGTTTTTCCCATAAAATGAAGCACGTATGTAATTCTCGCTCTGGAAGAATTGTATTTGAAAAATGGAACGATAAGTGCCGTTTGTCAGAATGGTTTTATGTTACTTTGCTCTCAGTGCTTTCCTGCAATGTTTACAAAAAAATTTCGCACAAAAACGTGCAATCATATTGAATAAGCATAATTTCTTAACATTTTATGTAATAAACGCGTTCGCTGCTTTTGCCAGAAAGATACAGTGAGGCTCTAACCGCAATGTTAGGTAACTGCCTGTCTCCCCGTAAGTTCTCGCCGTGAGGATTTAATTCTGGTTTGCTGGATGGAAGGAGCAGAAGAGCTCGCACGACGCCTATCTACATCCACCGAGAAGGACAGCAGCCTGGCCGAACTGGTGAGACCTCCCAGGCCGAAGGGGAAGCAGGGCAGGTCGCCTAGGAGACGCCGCGACGCCAAGAGGCGCCTCGATGATCAGGGGCGGCAGCCCTGCGGGATGGAGAGACGGCGGTTACCGGGGCAACCGGAAAACGCCGAACCTCCAGCATCCACAGCCGAGACAGCTGGCACCTCTCCGAAGAGATGGGATAGATGCAGGTAGCCATGGCGACCGCAGTAAATACTGTGACTCTCCCACGTGACTTAATGAGTGCCAAACATGTTTACCTAATCCCTGTATTAAGAGCTAAGAGTCCCATGGGGTTGACTAGATCTGAACTGTGCTAAGCTGTCCTACATGAATCGCTTTCTGCTTAATTGCCACAGATTCTGTCATCTCTGGTGTCAGTAAGATGGAAATTATGGAAAAACTGTATATATGTTTTTATATGTCCTTTAAGTGCTACTGAGGTGACGTACATATGTTTCTCTGTGATGTTATTTCAGGCGGGCACACTTTCTTCATGGACCATACCCAGCTACACATTTTGGACCTAAAGCTTGCATTCTTCCCAACCCCACTTCCGTCATGTAAGGCAACTAAATGCAAATATGAAAAGTAACCTTGTTTTTCCTGCCCCCCCTGTGTAACTGTGCAGCTGTGCTTAGAAAAACTTTGATTGTGTAAGTATGGCTTCATAGATAAGGGTGGTGTGTTTTGATTGGGTGGCTTTACCGCCCCCTGCCCCCGAATCTGGTGTTCTGATGACACCATGCTGTGCTGGGTAAGGGAACGGGTCTCCAAACCGTTGGGCTCGGCTTCAGTCATTCTCATAGCCCTCCGTTGCACCTTTTCTAAGGCAGCAATGTCCTTCTTAAGGTATGGTGACCAAACCTGCACACAATATTCTAGGTGGGGTCTTACCAAGGAATTATATAAATGTGACATCACCTCCCTTGACTTAAACTCCACACACCTAGATATATAACCCAACATTCTATTGGCCTTTTCTATTACTTCCCTACACTGGCGAGAGTGGGACATGGAAGCATCAACATACACACCGCAATCTTTCTCATAATCAGCTACCTTTATTTCAGTGG